ATGACATTTTTGTCATAATAAGATAAAAAAAATTCTTACTACAACGTGAAAATTTGAACATACTATACTATGACATTTTAATCATACTATACTATGACCTTTTTTGTACTAAAATAAGATTTTTTAATTTTGAATAAAATATACAATTTTTAACATACTATTCTATGACATTTCTATCAGGCATTACTATGATATTTTAAACATGGTATACTGCGACATTTTTGTATAAATGTGAATTTTTTTCACACATATATGACATTTTTTCATACTTTGCTATGAAATTTTTTCAAACTTGAGTATAAATTTTTTTTTCCCAATAAAATATGAAATCAATAACATACTATACTATGACATTTTTATCATACTATACTATGATTTTTTTATTTCCAATAAAGTATGAAATTTTTAACATACAATACCATAAAAAAATTTTTACCATTCATTAGTATGACACTTTTATCATACTATTCTATGACTTTTTTTTATCATATCAGACTTTGACATTTTTTTCATACTAAAATAGGATTTTTTCCCTACTAACATATGAAACTTTTTAACATACTATACTATGACATTGCTTTTCATGCTTCTAGTGACTTTTTGTCCCCACTAAAATATGACATTTTTAACATACTTTACTATGACATTTTCATTATACTATACTACGAATTCTTTTTTCACACTAAAATATGAAATTGTAAACATACTATACTATGACATCTTTTCATACTTAAGTATAAAAAAATTTCCCACTTAAATATGAAATTTTTAACATACTAAACTATGGCATTCTTTTTTATCATACTATACTATGAATTTTTGATCATATCCTAGTATGACATTTTTTTCATACTAAATTAGGATCTTTTCCCCACTTAAATATGAATTTTTAACATACTTTACAATGACATTGCTTTTCATGCTTAAATATGAGTTTTTTCCCACAAAAATGTAAAATTTTAAACATACTATACTATGAAATTTGTATCATACTAAACTATGACATTTTTTTCATTCTAAAATGCGATATTTTTAACATACAATACTAGGACATTTCTATCATACTATACTAGGACATCTTTTTTAATGCTTAAGTATAAAATTCTTTCCAACTAAATTTTTAAATTTATAACACACAATACTATGACACTTTCATTATACTTTACTATGATTTTTTTCCCGTTTTATGCTATCCTATGGCATTTTTATTTGCACTCATTTAGATACTTCACGATGAATTTTTTTCATAATACATTGTGATTTTTTCATACTGAAATATGATTTTTTTACTTCCAATTAAAAAATGAAACATTAAAATTTTTTAACATACATTACTATGACATTTTGATAATGCATTACATACTATACAATAACATTTTTTTTCATTCTAAAATGTGATATTTTGAACATACTATACTATGACTTCTTTATCAAAAAATTTTTTGACATTCTTTTTCCTACTAAAATATAAAATTTTCAACATACCATACTATGACATTTTTATCATACTATACTATGACTTTTTTTTCATCATAAATAATAATTTTTTTTCAGATTAAAATATAAAATTTTTTCACATACTATACTATGACATTTTATTATCCCAACTTTGACATTTTTTTCATACTAAAATGTGATTTTTTTATTTTCAATGAGATATAATTTTTTTAACATACAATACTATGACATTTTTATCATTCTATACCATTTTTTTATTCTAAAATGTGCTATTTTTCACATACTATACTACATCTGTTTTTATATCCAAAAATATGACTTTTTTTTCACACTAAAATATAAAATTTTCAACATACTACACCATGATATATTTATCATACTATACTATGATTTTTTTTTTCAAACTAAAACATGAAATTTGTTTTCCTGCTAAAATATAAAACTTTTACCATACTATACTATAACATTTTGTTCACACTATACTAGGACATTTTTTTCCATCCTCAAATGTTTTTTAAACTAAAATATGAAATTGTAAACATACCATACTATGACATTTTTATCATACTATACTATGACTTTTTTTTCATCATAAATAATTTCTTTTTTAATATTAAAATATAACATTTTTTCACATACTATACTATGACATTTTATTATCCCAAACTTTGACATTTTTTTCATACTAAAATGTGATTTTTTCATTTTCAATAAGATATAAACTTTTTTAACATACAATACTATGACATTTTTATCATTCTATACCATTTTTTATTCTAAAATGTGATATTTTTCACATACTATACTATGACTTTTTTTTCATATTATCCATGACTGTTTTATACCCCAAAATATGACTTTTTTTTCCCACTGAAATATGAAATTTAAACATACTATACCATGATATATTTATCATACTGTACTATGATTTTTTTTTCAAACTAAAACATGAAATTTGTTTTCCTGCTAAAATATGAATTTTTTAACATACTATACCATGACATTTTTATCACACTAAACCTATGATTTTTTATTCATACTTAACTATGACAGTTTTACCAAACTATACTGTGACATTTTATCTTACTAAACGGATAATTTTTTTAATACCTAATTTGGATTTTTAAACATACTATACGATATTATTTTAACCAAACTATACTGTGACTTTTTTCATACTATAACTTGATTTTTTTTTGTCATACTTTAAAATATGTTAAAAAAGATATCCCTTTATTAGTCCCACAGAGGGTAAATCCAAATAAGCACAGCTTTTACCCAGTTGGGCTTGAACCACTTTTTGCAACCCCCTACAAATGGCCTCCTTTAAAGCAAACCATTTACAGTTTAGATGATACTTCTCTTCCAGTCTGTTAGATCGACCTTGAGGAGGATCATATCAAAAAATCATCTGTTTAGGTCAAAGGGCGTGGACATGGCGTCCTTTCAAACTCAGACGTCACAACTACCAACCATCATAAAGGTTAGGGCTGCGGTGGAGAGCAGTGCAGCGGGGATGACAGGCGGTGTGAAATGGTGGAAGTGCGCTGGAGAGGTAGTTTACAGAGTTATTATTATGAGTCTGAATGTTGTATTTTAAGCCCATCTTGGTCAATGTAATAAAGACGTTCACACCTTTTATAGTTTAACAATAAAACAGTCAGTATCTTTTTTTTTTCTTCAACTTGGTACATTAATTAACAACTTTTCTTTACAATGAGGTTTAACGTCACCCTGAAACGTACATGCTGTTATCAATTACTTTAACTAAGTGCAATTAGTATAGTTTGACGGGAGACAAGGCTGAAAATAACTGTAAGCCCTGTAACAATAGATGCCATCAAACTTTCTCCCGACCTTCACTTTATAGAAATAAATCCCTTAGATCATTTTTACAGCCTGAGGAGGAAGTCCTCTCCTTTGTTACACCACACAAAGACTAATGAGCTGTAGAACAATCCTATGTGATTAACTCTCTAAGGGCCGGTCTCCAATAAGCAACATAAAATAGGACATAAGAACAAATCAGTGTGTGTACTGCACGGCTGAAATAGTTCCTTATGTACTTACATCCAGAATCAAGCGAGCGTTTGACGTGGATGTTTCTCTCCAGGAATTCATTAACATTTAAAAGAATATTGGGTCCAAAAGTAAATATGAAAATGAAGGTAATAGTGATTTCTTTTCTCCATTATATGGTAATTCTGTTTTAAATTAACCAGTAAATGTCAACAACCAAAATAACTGAAGACTGAAGTCAAACTGAAGAGGGTGTACAAAGGCCTGCAGACATAAAACCTCATTTCTAACCATTTGATGGAACATTTTAGTCCCTGCTGAACATGTAACAAAGGCCTGTGTGCTTCTTTGAGTTCAGGCAGTACAAGGTAACACTCCATGGTTGTTAGAGGAGATCGCTGGCAGAAGAGTCCAGAGGGAAGGGTTAAAGAAACATGGAAGACACGGGTTTGATCTTGCTTCTGGGTCACAGAACTTCACCATGTACAAGCTGCATGAACCTCTTGTGTGACATGACTATCGAAGACATATTGTACATCATTTATACGTCATACATGATTCATCCTGAGCTGTAGGAGCAGACTGAATCAAGAGCTGCTTCACCAAGCTGCCAACGCTTTGTAGTGCGTCTCTTCACAATCTGCCTTGATGGTGTTTTTATTTATTTATTCAAACTTTATTTAAAATTCAGTGACATTTATGGACAAGCCGCTCTTTTCCATCGTAGCTGCAGATTTAATCACAACTGCAAGATAAGAACATGTCATCTTAATTAACGTTTGTGTGCGATCTTCATGTATTCAATAATTTTATGATCACAGGTCTTACCCGGGATTTCCACCACATCCAGAACAGCTCTGTCCGCCAATTCCAACCGGATCGGTCTGTGAGGTGAATTTCGTGGCGGATTACAGACGCAGGAATCACGAGAACTCACAAGAACCCACACATTCATATGCAATCATGCGATAACGAGTTGTCTCTCTAAAGACAGACACATAGACATATAAGCAGTAGATTGTGTCCTTCCAGAGGAGGAAATCTACTTCTAGACTTCTAGAATCAGCATCTCCTCATCCATGGTGTCATCGGGGTGAAATGACGTCTAAAAACCTTTCACTTGTTCGTCTCCGCCCGTTTGCATGGTGTGAAATACGATCCTCCTGAAACACTGAGTCTTTTATTTTGAAAAGAAGCCGGATGTTTTATTTTGTGTCTGTGCCCGACTTCCTTTCCAGCACGGGTTAATCTGTGCTGAATTTATCCGCCATGCTCCGGCGTCCAGAAAAAATAGAACTCTTGTGATCAGCTGAGGAGTCCGGCGATCCGCAGAGGAACGGAAAGAAGTCGGTGTAAATTGACACGTTAACTTGAATGGTTACGATCAGCTACGATCAGAGGATACGACCTTTTAGTGGTTGTTCTGGATGTGGTGTAAATTGGGGGTTGAAGTTGCTCCAATGATTTGTTTTCCTTCCCGTTAGCGTCTCATACAGGAGCACAAGATCGTGTTGGTCTGGCGTTTATGTTCCTTCACTTTCTCTGCACAGTTAAAAACGTAGAAATTAAAAACCCAGAAGAAACTAATAAGAGTCAATGTCAGTAAAATTCAGTCTGTAAATGTGTAGTAATGAAAACTACTCCTGGGACTGAAAACTACTACCAGGATTTTTGGGAGCCACTTGGGATGACCCATCAGATTCCAAGGGGGACTGTGCCACTAAAGACTAAAACAGACTGCAGCTCATCTACCTGAGTACAGGTGGTTTAACTCGGGTATATGAGTTGAAGGTCTTCAGCTTGTCTTGGGTTTTATTATGGACCTGTGTTATAAACTCACTCACTTCCTGCAGTCTGGTTAACTATTGAGAGGGGGTTGAGGCTGAGGATAAAAACAGACGATAAGTAGCTGATAATGTTTCTGTTGAAAACTCCTGTAAACTTCTGACTTGAACAAACTACTTTAGCTCCTAATGACGGCTCCTGACTGATTCTTTAGCTCCCATGATGCCTGAAGAAGAAGAGGACCCGTAACCCAGCATCACTTCTGGAGGGTCAAACCACTTCAATACTTGACCAATCAGAAAAGCTCTGAGATAGACTATCTAAAATGTCTAAGTATGATCTCCTTTGTCAGGACTCGATAGGGGACAGAATAACATCCTGGGTCTAAATTAAGAACTTGGACGCTGAGTTCCTCTAAGACCTCGATCCCCTTGAAAAACATCCTTTTGTTGAAGGCGGCTGAAAAGATTTCTCTCGTCAATACACGAGTAAGAAAGAAACCCCGTGATGCCAAGAACAGCGTGTAACGTTCGATTTTACACTAAAAAGGAGGGAACATCAGGGCGTTAGACGCTTCAGCAGGTTGCAGCTTCACCTCACATCGACACGGAGACTTAATCATGGAGGTCGATCACCATCTCATGTCCTTATCTTTGAAAACCAAACTAATCAGGAACACGGTGAAGAAGACATTCAAGAACAGTGTTGTTGGTCCTGAGGCGGCGGGGGGGTCAGATTTCACCTGTCAGATTTAAAAGGCCGACCCGGCGGACCGTATTTCTGTTAAGTCAACACTGTCCTCCACTGCGAGGCCGTGAAAGAGTCAGCCTCACGCTGGGTTGATGGACTGCAGGTCCGCTCCAACACATCAATCACTCAGGTGAATCCAATGAATTATTCCAGCACTCTTAATAAGAGGCAGTAAATTTCATTCATAATTGATAACTATCATCAAACAATTCAAGCTACCTGCTAGTTAAAGAGGCCGTCTTTAGCGGGCAAATGGCCTGGAAATGCTACAAACATTCATTATGTCTTATGTATAATAAATCATCGAAGGAGGCGAAGTGGTTGCACCGCTCCCTGAGCGAGCCGCCTCGAGAACACTTCCTCGTACCGCCTTTTAATCCAACACTATCTCCTCTGCGCGGGTCCCTTTTAATACTCGTCACTTTTGTTTTTAACGAGACGAACGTGGACCTTCAGAGGCTCGATCGTCTATTGAACAGTGAGGCGTTTAACACATGAAGGCTACACCAGCTGAATCAAGGTTACTGGGATCAATTTGTGGTCGAGTTTTCACGGCGGTTGACCTCGGGATTGATCGAATGGATCCCGACCCCCCGACAAACAGATGAATGTTTTACAGGAGACCTTCAAAAAACACAGGTGTGAATAGAGAGATTATATTAACCTGTTTTTCATACTTGCTGTAACCCTTCAGAGCTTCAGGGACCTAAAAAATGGACTCTTAGAGCTGACGTTCTTCATTTAGCCTCACTGATGGATCCTACTGTGAGTTTCCTGACTGGTCAAAAAATAGAAAATGATCCTAGTTTTTCACTCTGACAGAAATGACTTTTTCCCTCCAGGACCAACAACAACTTTTTTTTGGTAGTGGGTGGATGAAGCTGCTGTTTTCTTTTGTTTCCATCCACTCTGATTAGTTTGGCATCGTCACACACAACCTTCTGTCAGAAACACTCTTGATCAACCAATCAGCCCCAAAGTGGAACTCTTGATCAGCCAATCAGCACTCTGTGTGGGATACATCCCATTGTGAAGGTATGTGTGTAAATATTGACCTTATCATTAATGGACACACTGTTAGTTAGTTAGTTAGTTAGGTTAGGTAGGTACTTTATCAATCCCAGAGGGAAATTTGATCTGTTATTGTCTTGAGTCGACCAAATTTGGACTTCCATTAGCAGAGAGAGAAACGAATACTGTCAGAGGGGAGGAGCCAAAATCTAGACCACAGGTGATTAATTAACAGAAAGTCCTGGGAGAAAGTTTCATGAAGTTTCATAGAACATTTTATAAGTCCAGAAAAACTTAGACCGGAACCAAGAGGAAACACTGAAGAAACTGTCCAGAAGGCGAGGATGCGGGAAAGGTCCCGCCTCCTTCGCCTCTGACTGGCTAGAAAAGCTGGAAACGCCGTCACACGCTCAAGTGAAACGAGGGCTGTCGGCGCATCGAACAGAACGATACAGAACATTATCGCACTTCTGAATCTCCTAGCCCTAACCCGACAGACGATGACGTTTCACAGCCATTAGGAATAACCAATCTGCATAGCTAGCACTTCTAGCCAATCAGAGGTGACGGAGGGCGGGACCTTTCCCTACCATCCTACAAAAAAAAAATTCGGGTCTGGGAGAGACGAGCGTAATCAAACAGGAAACACAGTCAGAGGTAAAACTAGACAAGACACAGAAGGAGAAAATTCTGCAAAATGAAGAAGAAAACGATCAAAACTTCAAACACGAGAAAACATAAAATATACGGATAATGACGCCTGAACCCAAAACAAAGAAAATACTGAACAAATAACAACTCCTGACAAATACACGTGCTAAAGACTGCAGTTCCTCGAGTAAAATGAAAGGACATCCCGTTAGCACCGCTGTCTGACTGTCAATATGGACGTCCCTTTAGACTGACATTTACAGTTTCAGTGAAAAGACATTATCCAGTTTATTGTGGATTCAGTGATGATGTTTAAAAGTGTATCTGCCATCTGCTGCAGTGAAAGCTGGTTGTTAATTTTGACTGATTACAGGTGAGTATAAAAAAACGAACAGGTCCCATCTCTGTTTTCTCTCAGTCTTCAGACAAACAGGAGTTTATAAAATCCAAACGTGAGGGGATGTGGTCGACTGTTTTTATGCTCCTCATTTCCAAAAGCATTCTTCCATATTCTTTGGTTAGAGGTCACAGCGAAACAGATGTCTGAGTAAATAGCTGCCGTCTCTAACAAGAACAAACTCTGCGGTATACCATCTGCAATCCGACCCCTCCGACCTCATCAACAAAGCTGCTGCGAGCTGAAAACGTACCACAGCACATGGATCAGGAGCGGCAGGTCACCGGTTTGCATAAGGTAGAAGACGCTTTTTAATTTCTGCTAAAAGAAGAAATCACAGAGCAAATTACCTGGATAATTAGAGTTCACAGACGAGCCTCTCTGGACTTGAATTAAGAACCTGGTTTTCTTGGATGTGAGGGTTTTTTCAGCGCACAGAGATGAAAGTGTGACCTGGTACTCGTGACCTTCCCCGGCAGCACTGCAACACTTCGTCAGGCTTTCCCTCGAAATGATCTCTGTCCATCTTTGTGCCACTTTGGTACCAAATATAAAAGGTGGGATCTCTAGAGAAGGTTTTTCATGGTTTTCAGAGACTTCTATAGGAGCTCAGGAGTTTGGGGCCGCCTCTGTTTTTATTCATGATTTTATTGTATATTGTTTAAAAATGTTGGAGTCGTTTTATATGCTGATGACTGAACTCTGTTCTCTGCATCAGTGGAGTTGATAAAGACCCAACAAAGCTGAGTTCATCTCCATCATGTCGTCGTCATTTTTTTTCTTCCGCTTCATCCTGGTCCGGGTCGCGGGGGCAGCAGCTTCAGGAGGGAAGCCCAGACGGCCCTCACCCCGGACACTCCCACCAGCTCCTCCTCCAGGGGGATTCCCAGGCGCTCCCAGGCCAGGCAAGAGATATAACCTGGTCCTGGGCCGGCCACGAGGTCTCCTCCCGGTGGGACATGTCTGGAACACCTCTAACAGGAGGCGTCCAGAAGGCGTCCTAACCAGATGCCCGAGCCACCTCAGCTGACTCCTCTGGACGTGGAGGAGCAGCGGTTCTCCTCTGAGCGCCTCCCGAGTGTCCGAGCTCCTTACCCTATCTCTAAGGCTGAGCCCGGACACCCTGAGGAGGAAACCCATTTCAGCCGCTTGTATCTGCGATCTTGTTCTTTCGGTCATTACCCAAAGTTCATGACCATAGGTGAGGATCGGCACGTAGATCGACCGGTAAATCAGAGAGTCTCTTTCTTCACCACCACTGATCGGTTTAGCGTCCGCATCACTGCTGACGCCGCTCTGATCCGCCTGTCGATCTCCCGTCCCATCCAACCCTCACTCGTGAACAAGATCCTGAGATACTTGAACTCCTCCACTTGAGGCAGGACCGCCCCTCCGACTTGGAGAAGGTGATCTACCTTTTTCTGACTGAGGACCATGACCTCGGACTTGAAGGTGCTGATTCACATCCCAGCCGCTTCACACTCAGCCGTGAACCGCCCCAGCAAGAGCTGAAGGTCACTGCTCGACGAAGCTAAAAGTACCACATCATCTGCAAAAAGCAGCGATGCGATCCTCTGCCTGCAGAACTGGACACCCTCCACCCCCGACTGCACCTATAAATTCTGTCCATAAAGGTTCTGAACAGAACCGGAGACAAAGGGCAGGCCTGGAGGAGTCCAACTCTCACTGGAAACGAGTCCGACTTACAGCCGGCTACACGGACCAAGCTCGTGCTCCTTTGGTAAAGGGATTGGACGGCCCTTAATAAGGAACATCCACCCCGTACTCCCGGAGCACCACCCAGAGGATTCCCCTGGGGACACGGTCGTAGGCCTTCTCCAAGTCCACAAAACACATGTGGACTGGTTGGGCAAACTCCCATCTCCCCTCAAGAACCCGAGCGAGGGTGAAGAGTTGATCCATAGTTCTGCGACTGGGACGAAAACCGCATTGTTCCTCCTCCTCCATCTCCATCACCAGATGGTAAAAAAACAGAACAACCAGACCGGGTCTTCACCGTCATCTTAGTTCCACCGTATGTGACGTCTTTCCCAGCTCTGACATTTCTTCTGATGGGAACAGAAAACGTTGTCCCTCACCCATCTCCATGAGCGTGTGGCATCACGTGAAGTTAATGAATACATTAAATCAAAGTCCAGCCAGTGTTTGTTTCATAAAGCTAAGTCTTAAAATAATTGATTGAGATAAAGTCTTCCATTTCTCCGAGCCAAAAAAGAAATCATGCTTATTTAGTTATTGGCTTTTCAAAAACAGCTTCTCAAGTCTTGGCAAAGAAAAGTGTCTGGTTTTCCACTCAAAAGATTCGACATATTCCTGCCAATTTTTCCTAATTTTCGAGGTTCTTCACCCAGAGTCATTCGCAGTGTCTCACGCACCAGTCTTGAGTCACTCTGAAGGTGTAAAACTGGGTTGGAGCGTGAAGACTGGAGGATATCTTTGGCGAATGTTGGTGAAAAACAAACTGTGTCAATAAAGCTGACTTTGGCAAAAATGATCCCATGTGGTAGAAATTGGGCTGTGCTGTTGTTTCCTCTGGTTGGGGTGTGCTCAGTCACTCGTCTGTCTTTTTTATTCTGTGGCTACATCAAATGTTGGAGCCATTCGAAGTCTTTTCAAAATCCAGCATGAATTATTTATCCCAGCTCTCTGGAGGTGTTGGAGGTAGAGCAGAGGTGGTGCTGCCTCTTCATTTTTCTGGATATGTTATCAACCCGGAGTCTGAGGGTCTGTGAACCCAATTGTTCAGGCCAGTCTTTTATGAAACTAACGTCCTTTAAACCTTTTCTTTTCTGCCGGCCCCCAGAATAAACCACTTTGTCAAGGTTTGCTTTGCTGCCTCTTCGAACCGTTTGACCGAATGTGGCGAAGAAGGTTTTGATTTTCACAGGAATGTTTTGCCCAAAAAGTAGACGTCTCCTAAACAGTCAGCGGGAAAACCTTTCACTCTGCAAACAGCCGAAGGAAAACATCTGATTGACCCTTTTCTGGCCTGCAGAATCGCTCATATTCAGCCGGTTTGACAACAGGATGAAAAGGATGACTCATCCAGGCCTGCCTTGAAGATCACTACCTGTTTGGTTCTTTCTACCACTTCAACAACCAGAGTGAAGTTTCCTCTCAGAAAGGAGACTGTTTATGTGCGGCTCTCTTTTTAAGGCCATAACCGACTGTGTGCAGAAAGGAACAAAAGTGGGCTGTGTGTTTTCTCTCACCTTGATTGTGCTTTTCCCCTTACCTTGTGTTTTTGTGGTCTTTTTGACCACTCAGACGGCTTTTACACCACTCACTGCTCACCCATCCACATCTGTGAGGTGGTGAAGAGGATAATATGGTGAAGGACCATCACTGTTAACTCACTACAGTCAATCTTTGTCAAACTCTGCTGACTGTTGGTGGAGGTTTAAAGAAAAGACAAACATTTTCTATCCGTCATGCAGCCAAAGATACTCTGTTTACTTTTGCAAAATCATCATTTCTAAAGCCTTTTTATGACAGTGCATTAAAATAGAGTAACGATTGAAGACCTTTTTAAAAAAAACAGATATGAGAGGTCATACTGCTTGTGTCCAATAGGTGGCCCTATTACGATGACAAAAATGGATTTTAACCCGGAAATCCCACTGGATCCGGAACAGCTCTTGGAGAAGCACTTGCGAGATTATCAATATTTCTCGTGAGACTGGACAACTGTGTTTCCTCGTGAGACATTGAATAAGATCCACCGATTGGTGTATATAAACACCCACATCCCACAACGCTGACCTCTCCTATTATCAAGCTAAGAACAGTTCAACATACTGACTTTATTTTATTTTGAAAATTACCGGATATTTTACTTTGTAGCTGCATAAAACTTCCACTGCTGCTCTTGAATTGATGTGCCGTGCTGCTGTTTATCTGATCCGGCCTCACATTGATTATAATGCTCGCGTGTTTGATCCGCCTGCTGTTCCAGATCCTGTGGGTTTTAGCCGTTAGACCAGCTCAGGCACAGGCCACCTTTTAATGAGTGACATTTAGGAGGGATTAGACATTGGGATGTTAATATCATTACCATATATTTCCACTGGGTAGCGCTATAGCTATAGAAAAAACGGTCACATGGTCTCAGAGGTGGACCGTGATCAGGAATATGAAATATCAAACTGATCTAAAGCTGATTGAAGGAGTTAATATGACTTCCTGTTTCATTGTGAAAACATCCAAATTTGACAAACAGCCTTTAATAACTTTCAGCAAGAGCGTCCACACGTCACTGTCTCGTCAGATCTGATCGGACAAGTGAGTTCGCCCAGATACACCCTCTGAATACTGGCTGATTAATTAATAAATATGACAATTAATTTGATATGACAATGGCCAACTTTCTCCCAGGCCCGACTGAAAAAAAGAGCGAAGTTTTGTGCTTCTTTAAATCCTCCAAACCTGCGATCATTTAGGCCAAAGAAAGAAAGAAAGAAAGAAGGTCCTTACAGCAGAGCAGCACATTTGACTTAAAACATTACAAAGCACATTTTCATTACATGCCGGCACAGTCGCACAATTAACACAGTATCAGCTCTTTATCCACCTGTCTTATGCATTTCATTTGGGTGGAATATATTAGCATATTAATGCTTATTAGAGGATTCTTTGTTGATCCCTGCGAGGATCTTTTTCTGTCTTGTAATCCTTTCTCCCACACAGTACCAGATCAAATATATCCAATGTTATTTTTAATGTAGGTGTTATATAAAAGTTTCATGTTTGAACAGAATAAGCAGTTAAACCAACAGTGACTGGAAGATCACAAAAAATGTATGAATGGCATTAGAAGAGAAGTTCATGCAGAAGTAAAAATAGATGGCAGGCAGGGTTCAGAGTTTTGTTGAAGGGCGCTTAGGCTTAAAAAATAAATGCTGACAAAAGGAGAAGTAACTGGAAAATCAGTGCAGGCCTCAAACTTAATTCACAATAGCACCAATCAAAGACACGCACACACAAGAGAGTCTAAGATCACAGATAGAAATCTGAGTTTGAACCAGACGGAGCTGAAAAAGTGACGCGCTGAGTGAAGACATCCGGAGGAACAGAGTGTAACAGGATCTAAAATCACTGTATCTCCAGTCTGAAGTCGATCTAAGTGCACTCTGCTCTCCAAAACCACAAGTACCACTCCCACAATCACGTCTGCTCACTCCCACTATAACGTCTGCTCTCAGAAAAAGCTCTGATTTTTATTTAGAGGGGACAAGGTGACCCCAGAAAATTTTCTTTTGCTGACAACTTAATGAAAAAGTCAATAATACGCTAAGGGGCCAAAATCTATATCAAGAAGTTAATGAATGCTGGGACTGTATCACAGCTTTAAAAATATCAATACAGATCCACTTTAGTAAACTAAAAAACTGCTGAAATTAAATATACTTCTTAATGTGGCAAAACGGAAGTTGGAATGGAAAAGTTATTGGACATTTTCTTTTACATTTTTTCACACCTGAATGATCTGTCAATGTTTTTAAAGGGATAAAAATGGCGTAAAAATGAATTTAGAGTCAAACACACAGTAACTCAATGTTAGACCACCCCTCCTGAGATGAATGTTGCCGACCGCTTGCTTCTCTAGTTAAACCAACTTTAGTAACGACGGTGTTACTGTGTAACTCGGTAGTAACTCGGTGTTACTGTGTGTTTGACCCTAAATTAATTTTACGCCAGAATATCCCTTTAATTCAACATTTGTGTCTCAATTCACTGCACTTAAAGCACATTTTAGCAACAAGGCAAGTCAAAGTGCTGAACACAGACATCAGAGAAACCGTAACAGATGTCCTAAAACAACATTAATGTTCAATTCTGTTACTAATCATTCCATAATATTAAACTACTGCTTTAGGTGATCTTAGTGCGCACCATTTGTTTTAGACCGTCTGTTTTTCTGATGGAGCAGTCAGCAGGACTAAAATTCAAGCTAATACTGCTGTGAAGGCGCGAAGGTTATATACTACATTACCCAAAATCCATTGCGGGCGAACATTACGGCAAGCGAAAGGCGGAAATTTTGGAAACGTTTTGTAGACTTGAGGGTTGTTGTGAGTAACTACTTCCTAAATTTTTGCCTGTTATCTTTGGAAATAACTCCAGAGAATCGATCAAACCGTCTTCATCGATCCGTATTAGTCCTCCGTATCTTTTAGCCACGGAGCTAAAAAGAAGTGTTGCTAAGTTAGAGGTGTCTTTCTCTCCAGGCGGCCGAAGATCGTTTCTTTACTCCGTTTCAGCGTCAAATTAAGACTTTATTTTATATCCAAACACCAGTTTATGTCTTTATTGATATTTAACGTAGTGAGACCATGGTGGTCCTGAGGGAGGGGATGTGTCCTGGACTGGAGGAGGGTCTGGTTCGGGACCTTCGAGCTGCTGATATTAAAACAGGTCAGTCTGAGATTATCAGGAAGTTTAACTTTAAACTGGGACTAACTTTGATGAAAGGTTTAATTTAACTATAAACTGGGACTAACTTTAATAGAAGTTTAACTTTAAACTGGGACTAACTTTGATGAAGGGTATAATTTAACGTTAAACTGGGACTAACTTTAGTAGAAGTTTAACATTAAACTGGGACTAACTTTAATGGAAGGTTTAATTTAACGTTAAACTGGGACTAACTTTAATGGAAGGTTTAATTTAACGTTAAACTGGGACTAACTTTGATGGAAGTTTAACATTAAACTGGGACTAACTCTGATGGTTTCCTGATGTTACAGTGGAGGACCTGGTCTCATCTGATATGGAGGAGCTGGCTCAGAAATGCTCCGTGTCCTATAAGGTATTTCTGTCTCATTTTAATGAAAGATGTGTCTCATTTAGTGAGCCGAACCCTGTGAATGTCAGCTCTGACAGATTGGTCTGTTTACTGCCTGTTCACTCACATTTACCTCATATAACACACTAACAGCGTCAGGATGTCCTGTCCTTGTCTCTGCAGGACTGAGTGTAAAAAAATGACCCATCAAAGTCGAATTGTTGTGATTTACTCACTCCAAAGTACTGCAATAATAACATCTACACCTGCACCATGTTTATCTCTGAAATCCTGGTTTAACCTCAGAGGAATGATCATCTCAGGCTGTTTGATAGAAAGCACATGTGACTTATTTAGTCAGCTGTAGTATTACTATGAAAAAAGGTGATACACTCTCATATTTTAACCCCAAAGTAAACAGAGATGCACACTCTGACATCCTCGGTAAGTGGTCGACTGATTAATGTTTATCAGTTGTTGTTGTTTAGCAGTAACACTTCACTATAACAGAGTACGTGTCAAAGACTTGTCAGTGACTGTTAAATTGATCTGCTGACATTAAACGTGTTCACATCTGAGAGGATGTTGATGTTGCGTGACGGCGGCGTCATAAACGAGGCTGCCTGCAGTGTCTGCAGACTTAATTAAATCATTTTAATCAGCTCAGAATATCAGCTGATGTCAAACCGATTAATCACTCTATCTCTGGTACTAATATTAGCAGATCATGGCTTCAAATTTTACTACACACCCTCCATGTTAAGGGTCGGTTTTGGTCCGTGTCTTAAATCAGCTGTAAATTAAAAACAATTCTCTATCATCTAATTTGGTTCTCATCTCTAGGTTACCTTGTTCAGCTTTATCATCCATGAAAATATTGATTATAATAGTTTTTGTTGTTGTCCTCTGGGTCTTTTTTTGTCAGTGTACTCCTCACACAGACATCTATACTGAACTGATCTCACGTCTGGACATGCTGGATGTCGTTTTTTGTGCAGAGAAAAACATGGCAAAATGAGAATTTCCTAAATCTGACATGATTGGAAGAGGATCTGACTGTCAGTGCACTTATGATTTCAGTTTTTGCTCTAATTATTAGATATTGATCTAACCGAGTCAGCAGCAACCCTTACATGACAAGTGCCATAACTTTAATAAGAGCATTTTATAATTTATTCAATTTAATTTTAAAATTTTTATTTTGTTGAAATCCAGTTTCCTGACGAAGTCAAAAAGTCTTAATGTAAAAAAGCAAATTTAAGTTTTTCTTTTAAGTATTTAAAATCAAAAACGTGTCGGTGCAGACCCTAACACAGGAGGAGGGTTCATTATTGGTATCTGCAAATATGAAAGTTTCTGCAAGTAGAAAAAAGGGTACAGTATTCAACATGTGCATGCTGTGACAGTGAAAGAAAGAGATGTGCAAATGAAAAAAATGAGTTTAAAAATATCTGCAAAAATCTAAAATTGTGCATCTCGAACCACGAGAGGATAAAAGTGTGAAAAGGAGCAGCTGTGATCCGTCAACATAGAGCTGAAGTGAAGAGAGAGAGCGTCTGTAAAGTAAACACGAGGGCAAAACTGATCGATGAAGTTATTTTCTGATTGATTCACAGCGATTAGACTCTTCAGATCTCACCTCACAAATGTGCAGAAGATTCAGGATTTGTTTGAACAGCGGCTGAACTCGCGCCTCTTTTTCTGCCCGCTGTGTGTCTCTGCTCTGCCCTCCGTCACAAACACCACAGCGCTCTCCAACTCTCCTCATTCATAGATCGGCAAATACCGACATTTAAAGATCCTTCAAAGATGCAAAGAAGAGAGACAACAGTTTCACCGGGTCTCTGTACGTTTTCTTTCCTGACCTTTGGACTGTGAAGGTTTCGGGTTTGTTTATCCACCAAATCCTTATGCATTCAGATATCATCAGGTCTGGAGAACGGTGATTGATATGCAGTCTTTGAGCATCCTTTCTGCTTGTCTGGGCTTTATAATGTCACCCTAGGGGCGAGAGACAGAGAGAGAGAGAGAGAGAAATAAAATTAAAAATATCCGAAAAGAAAGACGTGTTTCAACTCCTGCACACACATACACACACACACACACACACACACACACACAGGTATGGACCGCCCTGACTTGTAGTAAAAAAACAAACAGACACACTCCGTGGAAAAAAAATATTTTTCCGTCCTTGGAGTCCCCGCTCTGGTTCTTTTCATCCGTATTAAGAGGTATTTATATCATCCATTTAGCCTGTATTATTCCTGCAGATACAACCGAAAACTCAGAGGAGGAAAATGTTCAGAGGTCTGCTTTTTCATAAGTGGTTCTCAGTATATCTATCTCACGAGTACAGTAAGAGAAGAAACGCTGAAAACACGTCCAGTCATCTGGGAAGAACTAAATACTTCTCGCTGCGTGTTTTAAAAACAGATTGAACTCCAGAAGACGAGGCCAGCTTCTCGTTCTTACTCCAGTTTTGCAGAGAGAGCAGAAGAGACACTTTGTCTGACCCGCTGCTGACCCGCCGGGTAAATAAACTTTTTTCTTTTTTCCTGGAGATCATAAATACTGCTCCCCACCAAACTTTTTCACAGATATAAAAGTGCAAATAATCACAACAGAGACCCAGAGGAGGCGTCCAGATAAATGTGTGTAGCAGCGGATCTTTGCGTGGGCGGCGTTCGAAGTCAGCCCGGGCTTTTGTTCGTATGGACGGAGGATGGAAGCTTTCCAGTCAGAGATAGATCCTCCTCATGACTTCGTTCAGGGAAACAGATTTGTAACCTTCTTATTTGAGGTTAGCAGCTTCTGAGATTTACAGGAAACATGTGAGGTATGTCAGATATTATTATTACTCTCACTGCAGCTCGTCCAGTAACCGTTATCTTTCTTTGACCGTCGCTGCCCGCACAAGGTCCAGCCGCATCTGGGTTTCCTGTCCAGCTTGTTCAGCCTGCAGGCGTCCCCCCACCCACCTCCCTCTGGTCCATCGGTGTCCTGCTGTTGATTCAAACCTCTGTTGAACACACATTACAGCAGGCAGGAGGTCAGCGTGGGGTCACCTGCACTGACGGGCTTATCTGACAGACAGACAGTCTGCTGCAGGAGTTCAATTAAAACTGCATTTGATTTTAAAACACACACACACACACACACACACACACACACACACACACACACACACACACACACACACACACACCCATCTGAGGAGCTCTCATCCTAAACTGGGGCGCCAACATCCCCACTAATTGAGACCCAACAGATTTGCCTTACATCCCCAAATAAATCTCCTCTTTTTGACACGAACTCGGGCAGAAAACCGTCTCCGCCCCGAAGAAGAAGAAGAAGAAACTTACGGAGAGTGTGAGTCTGATAAACAGCTGTAAACGCTCTCTCTCCCCGCTGACAGCTGGACTTGATAACATCCAGTATCGTGTCCCAGCTGGGTTTAGGAGACTCACGTCCCTGTCTCAGTCCGGGTGTTGAGCACAAACATCAAATAGTATTTTAATGAAAGGACTGAAACATGATTAAAAAACTGAAACTACCTCAAAGGGGGGTGCAGGGTCAGACATTTAGAGTTTTACTTTTATTACGCCGTCTGCTAACTTTGATTTTTTTTTATTGCAAACATTTAACAAAGGAGTGAAGTGTAATATGAATAATAATAGAAACAAGAAATAACAAGAAATGTAAAAAATAACACCAACGAAGACGATAACAAGAGATGAAAACAAATTTAAAAAATGATAATAATGGTACATCAGCAAAAAAGGCAAGCAGAGCAAAAACAGAAATGAGACAGGAGTATCAGACACAACTGTTCGAAATGGACGGTGAGGAATATGTTAATTATAATAATAAAGAAAAACTTAGAGGCAATTGAACATGGAAGAAAGTAAGACAAAATAATAATTAGAAAAATAATAATTTAATAATAAAAATTAGAAAAATAATAATAATGATAATAATAATAGTACTTCTACTACTACAACTAATAATACTAATAATACTGATAATAATAATAAAAAATGCAATATTAAATGAGAAAATTAATAATAATAATAATAATAATAATAATAGTAATAATAATAATAATAATAATAATAATAATAATAATAATAACAATAATAATAATAATAATAATAATAATAATGCTTTTGAGACATCACTTGTGAGTTTGGGGGTCGGGCTCACAGGCTCTGAGAAGTAGAGGGGTCCAGGCTGTTTCACAATAATGACTTCTGTCTTAGAGAGCAGCTGAGAGCTTTTCCATAGATCTGTGTTCTGTAAGGATGTTTAACCAGTGTGATGTGTGAAGTTTGTTTTCTTGTTTTCAGTTCCTGAGTTTGGTCTTTTTGGCAGTGGTTATAGCTAAGGCGCCGTCTACTAACTTTGATTTACACTTCTAAATAAATTTATATTTATGTTCAAATACCGTCTGTGAAAATCTGAAGCTGAAGCTGAAATAAACTCATGGGTGTTACTTTTCACACAGTTTTGTAGTCATGAAGTGACAGCAGAGTTCTGCTTTTACAGAAAATCATTACGGCTGAACGAGATCGTCCCGTCTCTGCTGTGGTTTATGAAGCGCAGCGTTCAGAGCAGAGCGTGTACTTTGACAGTTTCTGACTGAAATCTGACAGACGGAGGTAAAAAACTAAGAGTGGAGGTTCGATTTCCTTTCAGCTGTACAGATGAAGTTGTTAAATTACTTAAAGAGGAAGAAGAAGTAGAGGACATGATCTGAACCCACCTCTGCTCTGACAGATGTTAACGCTCCGATTATCAGTGTGAGTCACAAACGGTCCTCTGCAGTTTAATGGGAAGGTTTGTTCAGATGTCCGTATCACTCCGATGAGCAGGACGAGCCGTCGTCATTCATGGAGGTGATTAGAAGACAAGTTTTTATCTTTAACTCTGTTTGAGGTTTCACTTTCATGTGGAGACTAAAGGTTCAGACTCCAAACTGATCATTTATTCAGGTAATAATATCCACTGTCACTTTGTTATCTGCAGACGTGTTGTTGTACTTTCCTCAGTCTGTGATTTTATTTTTTTCACACATTTGTTGAAGTTTTCAGACATTTAAATAATAAGTGTCAGTATAAAAAAGTCATTTTGAGAAAAGAGACTTTCCAGTGAATATTTTTATAAAACCTGAACGATGATAGAAATATCTGTTTCTCTGTGATCTCATCGTCCTGACGGGAGACTCGAGGGTTTTTCTTGTGAGTTAAATCCACACTGACTCACTGATAATAATAATTGATCTGCAGTTTTACAATAACTCCATCATAATTTACTACATCGTGACTGATAGTCCAACTCGCTGTTTGGTTTCTCAGTCATTTGGAAATATAAATTAAAGGAAGGGTTAGTTTGCTTCGGCTTCATAGGAAACAGTTTTTGTTTTTCAGGATAAAATTCTACATAAAGGTTTCAGATAATCGGTTCATTATATCAGGTGGACTGAGTCAAAGTAGAAAACTGTCGTTTAGACTCACGAGTGGAAGTTTGTCTTTCTTTGTGGAGATCATGGATGAGGCGTCTCAGACTGCAGAGAGAGCAGAACAAGATTATTTAAACAGACTCTGAAACAGCAGGATCCGGGTTCTGGACTTTACGGAGCGACCCAGATACTGTATATGGAGACCGAGCAATAATTAAAAACCATGAATGTTGACCTGAATCCATTAACTTAACCATTAATCAACCAATAACCATGACAAATAACCCAAATTCAACAGTGAAGATGCTTCATTTAAGGCGGGTTTGTTTTTTACTTTTGTATTTGACTGAAACATTCATGACGAGAACAATCGGACAGATAAGAACAAAGAAATCAAATATACATTTATCCTGCATTGATTTATTTCCACACAGAAATGTGGTCGTGAGAGAGAGAAGATTAAAAAGACGAAACAAAAAGGAAAAAAGACGATCAGACGACTGAAGACCACCTCAGTTAGAGACTGACTGAACCACGGCGGTCTGTAAATATAAACATCCATGGTTACCTTTAACAGAGGCGACATTCAAACCTCATAATCTTAGAAAAACAGTCTTAATCTCTCCTGACTAATCCACAACACTAAAGGGTTGTTTCGCTCAAATGTAGTTTCCACGTAGTTTCCCTCTCCACGTTAGTTTTTAGCGTTTGGACTCCTCTGAGTAAAATCACTTTAAGCAGCAGATTAAATCTCCATGTGGAGTCAAACTGAAGTGTTTCACAGACGTTTACACGAGGAAACGAGGTTAACAGAGAGAGAGAAGAGTTTGGTCGTGGCAAATTGAAATAGTAGAATCCCAATCTCAGCCTCCCACTCAGGAAGTCGTGAGCATATTTGTTGTCGATGTTTTCTCTTCAGTGGACGACCTGCTCGCTCCGTTCAAAAGTGTCTCACTCCAGATATTCTCAAAGTGACTCCACAGAACGGTGTAGATATCTCAGACGGTGTGAAAAATCCTCCCACTCACTTCAAAACAAGACAAATTTTGTACCTCCTGCTTTTGGAATTACTCCGCTCACGGCTCATTTGTGCAGAAAACCACCCAATCTGGCAGCGAAGGAAGCCCGGGGTCCTCAAGTACACATGTAGTTCCAGATCGACGCGGCGTTCCTGTGTGCATCATGTGCTGTGTTTTTTTTCTATTTCAGGCTCTGTTTGCCATCCGGCGAGTGCTGTTGGCCCAGCACACAGCGTTCCCCGTGTCAGGAGCTGATCTGTACGAAGAACTATTGAGCTCGACAGCCATCCTCTCCACAGGAAACCCCAGGTAAAGACAATAGTGCACACACAGCAGCAGAGCACACGGCTTTGTCTTCCAGGCTCCGGAGGGGATTTAACCGGGGGGCTCGAGAGCTGAAAGGAAGGTTCACCTCCAAAAATCAAAAATGTCTTCCTGAGGACAGCTCCACATGTTTATTTCAGAGGCAGCAGGGGTTATTTATCGGTGAAGCTCCTCCATGTCACGACCACGAACGAGACGGGTTAGAAGTGCTTTAGTGGGAGAAAGAAAAGGTTCGAGTTTGGAGCTGAACTCTGATTCCGTGAAGCTGTGTTGATTCTCAAAATCTTAGAGTTTAGAGGGAATTATTGAGTGTCATCACACAGACTATGAACTGTAGATACACAAACCAATCCTCCTGATTCAATATTATATTTAAGTCAACTTTGGGTTGATACAGACTCGTCCCTTTAGTACAGACATAATCTCAGATTCTTAGTTTTGATGATATGTTTCATTTAATTTTTTCATTACCAGGTAGTACATGTTGCTCATAGCGCACCACCACGGCTAAATAAAAGCCGCCACACCTAAAAAAATTCAGTTTTTATCTCACATAGTTCTACCTCGGACTCATATGTATCAGCAGTGTTTCCTCTACATTCATTCGCCGCTGCTAAATTATAATCACCGCTACTGAAATTTCACATGATCATTAATATCAATGCTCCACCAATGATTCTACTCTCACTGTGTGAGCACAACAACACACAACGTTATTTCTGACTTGTTTTCAATCAACGAGCGCATCAAATCCCGTCGGACCCTCTTCCACTAATGTGAAGGGTAACGTTTCATCTTACACACGGTCTGTATGGTATTCATCACTGTTCAGCCCCACAAATAAGAACTGTTTGGGTTTGAAACTGGACATTTCCAAGGACCACTCTACTATATGCAGTGTGCGTTTCCGCGAGGTGGATGTAATTCTCGGCTGACATGCATTTCTCAGCACAACATCGGTAAGAACAACAACGATTGAAAAATGAGAAACGAACAAGAGAAAACCACCAAAGATGAAGACGATGGTAAAAAGAGAATCAATGTCAGTTATCTGGAATTATTTCAGTTCTAAGGATGACTAAAACACGTGTTCTGTGTTCATCTGTTTCCACAATAACGTCCAGAACAATAAAAACTAAAAATATCTCTGAGACAGACAGAAGACAGTCTACTAACATTCACTAAAGAGGGAAGATCAGAGCAGGTTAACTGTCCTCAAGATCTCAGCAGAAACTCAGATTCAGATCATCTGAGGAAAATTACTCTGTTTTTAATATCGTCATAAATATCGCAGGGTTGAAAAAAATTGCAATGTTAGTTTTTTCCGATATCGTGCAGCCCTACTGGTATGGATCTGAAATTGTTTTCATTATGGCCTTAAAAAGTCTTAAATTTGACTGGTTAAAACCTGCAGAAACCCTGATATTTATGTATTTTCAGTATTTCCTTTTCTCTGCACTTTTATAAGGAGTATTATTATGAAGACCTGTAAACTCGTGTCCTCACTGTTATTGTAAATCGTCGTTTCAGTCACTCTCATCATGTTTTAGGTTTTATTATTCAGGTTTGCAGAGAAGTGCTCAACGATATCATGAAAAACAAACAGGTAGAATCGATAGTATTGTACATTACCAAAGATGTTTTGCAACCTGATTCGTCTGCATTGATCCTCTTTTATCAAACTAAAATGTTTTGGGTCTCGCTGTTACCGAGTTAGCATTGACCCGCGGGGCAGAATATGCATCTGCAGTATGAGAGCTGTGGTTATAAATACAGCAGAGCACTGATGGCCTGTGTGCGACATTTTAGCTGCTAAAACAGACTTCTTCTTCCTCCTCTTCCTCTTCTCCTTCTTCTTCTTGTTGTTCCATTTGGCTTAAGTGGATCCTGATATATCAGCTGCCTTAAGCTGGCCTCCCGCCTGCCGCACCACTTTCTGCAGAAATACTCCCTCCAAAGTGCTCGAAAACATTTGATGACTTGAGAGGAATCCAGACTCCCCCTCTGCTGCCTGGATGGTATTACCCTCCCAAAGTATCTCAGTCCAAATAAAAAAAGAGGACCTGACGTTTAGTAAAAGCTTTGCACAGAAATATGTGCCGCTGTGATGAGACTCAGTATCTGTGAGCAGCTGGAGGAACACATATTTCAGGAGTGAAATATCCTGAAATCGGAGGGAAAGTCCTGCAGTGAGAGCTCAGGCGGCCCTGGACCAATCAGTGAAGTCGGCCAGCATGGTGTAATTTATAGGGTGATGGTCTTTTTACAGCTAAACCCACAGTTCCAGCGTAATTAACAAGCACAGGTGTGTTTAGTCTCTTCATGGCTCGTTTGAAGTGGGTTTCATAAATTAGTTAGTTCTCTGGATTACTGATATGAAACTAAAGCAGTCCTGTGGGCTGGAGCCGGCGGCGCCTGATCTGTGTATCTTGACTGCTCTCTACTGGCGAGGGGAAGAACTGCAGGCTGTACATGCAGAGACAGAGACGAACACAGAGGCAGAAACCGACTCCAGCACAACATCAGCGTCATGAAGCGGCTCTTCAAGTCTGTGTTTGGAAAGTAATTCTGAACATTTTTGACCAAATCCAAAAATATCCTCCAGATCTTAAAGTCAGTCACCTTTCTGTGTCTCTGTCTGTCTGAGGAGGTAACCTCGTTCTTGGAGGAACCTTCTCTGGAAACAAACACAACAATTACAGGGGAGGATTTAGCGTTCAGAGTAGATGAAGGTGGTTGTTTCGCAGGATTATTTAGGCTTGCAGAAATAAAACATTACGGTCGTAAATAATTGAAAAAATCAATCATGTGGAGAGTCAAAAGATATCAGGGACCGTGAGAGACCATAATCTGTCCTAAAAAACAACATGATAAAAAACGTCTCATGCTAATGTCAAACAGGTTTTTAGAGTTAAATCCACAGATTACTGACAGGTCAACCTAACAGAGAAGTTTAATCAACGTTATTAAAATAATCTGTTTCCAATCTGTAATGTTTCCCATCAAACACACGATACCATCACTGTAAACACTTTAGAGCTTTTTCCAACATTGAGAGAACAAAGAGTTAATTTCAATATGCCAATAATTATCGGAGCATTATTCATGTTTTCTCTGTTCAGACTTTTCCCACCTGCAGCCCTGGAGACTCTACACGACGTCCAAACTTCTCTTCCACGTCCAGCCGTGTCTGCTGCTCCAGCGTTTTGTTGATGATGTTTCCTGAGAGAGATTTAAAGACAGAGATGGTCAGAAACTGTTGGATTCTGTCTCATTCGGCCAGCGTCTGTGTGATATCAAAACTACACTGTGTTATCGTCGAACGGTAAAACTCGTACGCTGATAGAAACAAACAAACGTCCTTGGTTGAATGTTCCCGAACGTTTTAGCTGTGTCTGCAGATACTGAGAATAAAAGCGTCTCTTTGGCATCACAGACACATTTACAGACACAAATGCAGCTTTTATTTCATCTCATATAAAGAGGGAAACACAAAGACAGCAGCATCGTTTATAACAAATAAAAAAGGTGAAGATATTCTGGAGCAATGAGACTCGATCAGATCAGGATTTGTCTCACAAACGGCTGAGGATGGTGTGGAGCTGTCATCAGCTGACACTATAACAGCATAAAGGTGTTTTGATGATATTCACAGACCCGTGCAGAAATATGTAGGTGTGCACTCGTGATCAATTCACCGTCAAAGAGCGGCAAAGATGGTCTTCTTCTTTCCTGGATCAGTCTGTCTTTGTTTCTAGTTTTGCTGTTGAATCGTTGAACTCGTCTTAACACGGCTGAAGGATCCTTCCTAATCTTGGTGCAGAATCAAACAAACTTCTACGTTGGTCTTCTCAGATGTTCTGGTGTCGTGAGCGTTCACTCAGGATGGCTTTGGTTGCAGCACATGTCCTTCATTTTTGTAGAGAACCATCTCTTGTATTAAAGAGCGCCGTTCGATGGTCAGGTTCCGGTTCTGAGTAGTTTCTCTGCAGTGTGAGTTTTTAATAGATGCTGAAAAACAGCAGAAGAAGAGAGGAAGTGAAGCGCTAAAACACAAACTTCAGTATGGTCTCGTGTTGTAGGTCGTTTCATCTCGATATCTTATCCCATATCACCGACTCTCCTCATGTCCTCAACCCTGTCCAGGTTTATATCGTCTTCTTCTCACCCTGTCCATTTAAAGAAGAAGACTTACCTGTGAAAAAGACATCTGCTTCTTGTCAAACTAAAACCTCGTGGACTAAATAAACATCTGAACGAGACGCTTGAACTCCCAAACTCCTTTTTTATTCGCTCATCGCTGGTTCAGAGCTCTAAAATACAAAGCCCAGCAAAATTACCCTGAAGGGGAAACACTGTTTTTCTGACAGTGTTTTGTCAAAACGTTTTCATGGATAACAGCGAGGGAGGAAATGTCCAAATCCAGAAAGAGTTTCTGATTGATTTCTCCTTGAAAAGAAAATGAGACCGAACAACAGAATCAGTTTTTTGTGGTTTCCACTCCAATCATACTCTCTGATGAAAACCTTCACTCCAGAGAAGTCTGATCGCCGCCCACGGGAAATTCACGGTCTGTGCTTTTTCAAGGACAATCACTTTCACCTCTCTGAGACCTCACAGCCGCTCAACCTGATGTTTCATCTACGGTGTCAGGGACAGGCGGGACTAATCCACAAATGTCCAACCGCACCAATTCTTCTCTTCTCAATCAAGCCCAGCTGATAAGAACCACCATCCACCAACCTCAGGCTTCCCCTCCAGGCTGGGGGACCTCGGTTATGTAGATTTAACGGCCCGGCTGTCACATCCGTCATCAGACGTACGGGGAGGATGATGAGATCACACAAACTGCAGAGATCGTTGGCCTGAACGAACGTCAGCGCGGACAAATCCAAACACGTCTCCTCTGAAAGACGAGCAACAACATCAACAGAGTCAGCAACAACAGCCCGACTTTGTTTTCTGTCACCAGAGACAGAGGCGGATCAGCAGCTGACGGTTTCTGCTCCTCTGAGCTGTGGACAGATTTGGGTCACCGCTCAAAACATGTGAGGTTTGATTCCATCTAAAGCTCCGACCGAAACCAACAACACCGATGGACGCAAACCGACATGAAAAACATGAGAGACGAGTATTTAAACACGAGACTGATTCTCAAAAAAACAGTTTTCAATAAATAATGAGGAGTTCACGTACAGAGATAATCGTGTGTTTGAACCACACACTGTTTAAAAGCCTCGCTAAAATCAACGTGAAGATGTTCAACACTACTGGGCAATATTGCGTCTTCCTCCAAGAACGCAGAAATACCGAGAGCTTTTCAGCTTCAAATCCGTAAACTAGAGGAAGGAGGAACCAAGTTGTCCAGAGTAAATACAGACTATGGGCAACTCAGCATCTTAGTATGACCGCAGCGTTGTTACTGGGATTGGATTTTCAGGACTGATAACGATCGCTTGTAGCTAATGAAGCGAATAAATGATGTTAGGAACCAATAAGCAGTGACCTTAAACATCATGTAGAGGAGTTAACTGTGAGTAAGTGGGACTATATTCATCGTATCTCTCTGGAAGATCTCTCCATGGGTGATAGCATCTCAGAACAATCCTTCACTTTACTTTGGTGTTCCACAGGGATCTGTTCTGGGACCTCAGTGGCTTGTTTGTCCGAACAATCATGGTACTCTAATTTCTGGACTGATCACCCTGCACTTTGGTCACTCAGAGTCCTTCAGGAGGTAAAAAGGTTCCTCTATTAGGGTCCCAAGACGTTTAAAAAAAGGGGGCGGTTCCTACTGTTTGTCGAACTCTGAAAAAGTTCCTGTAAAAAGTCCAAAAAAATTTGTGTTGGTTTACAGTTCAGGAACTTCACTGTAACTGTAACATGAGTCTGGTCCTGGTCCTGGTCCAGATCGGCTCTTTTTGTTCAGCATCTTTATTGACAGTTAGTTGTGATTTGTGGGCGACATATAAAAAGATCTGATTGATTGATTGATGATGTTTTTCCAGGTTCTCTGTCATGTTTCAGCCTTAAGTGGCGGACAGCTGTGTGGACAAACGTGACGACGCTCCTCTGACTCTTCTTGGCAGCGGTGTTGTTGTATTTGTAGAGAAAGGTTAGAGTAGGACAGACGTTTGATTGGCTGCTGACTGTTAAAGTTTTAACCTTGTAACCCGATCCCCTTCTGTCCTTTCTCTCCTCCCTCCGTTCAGGTGAAAATTAACGGTCCTCCTCTGATTTATGGTCCAAGTTTCCTGGAGAGTGAACACATAAAAAGTGCAGAGACTCTGAGGTGTGTGTGAGTGTGTGTGTGTGTGTGTGTGTGTGTGTGTGTGTGTGTGTGGGGGTCTTCTTGTATAAACAGCCCGGGGTGTGTAAAGGTATGAGTTCAGTGGAGATTTACCTATGCAGCTACAAAGCCGCCATGACAAGACTGACAAGGTCGGAAATCTTCTCTCGGTTCATCCCCGTGGGCAGACGGCGTTTAAGTATCATCTCTGGATGTTGCTGGTTTTAGCTCCAGGCGCTTCTTCTGAAGAAAGCCTCGCAGATGTTGTAGTTTAGACGGAGGAACATTTTCTGAACCCTCCTTGGAGTAAAAACTGGAAAACTACATAAACTCTGAGAAAAGGAGGATGTCACAGGAAGTGATTGAGTTTAAAGGGAGTAAAACTAATTTAGGGTCAAACCCACCGTAACACAGAGTTAGACCCCCCCTCAGAGATGAATGTTGTCGACCGCTTCCTTCTCTAGTTATACCAACTTTAGTAACGACCGCAGGATAGAAATACAGAGAGCCACGCCCTCAACCAAAACGCCACTCTATAGCCTCAAATAATGCTCAGAACAGCACCTAACTTCATCAACAGGACATATAGGGTCACAGACATAGTACTATACTCAGAGTTGTTCTAACTCCTAAGAAAACATAAACTTCAGATCTCCACTTCTGTCGTCTATAAGCTGGGCCAAGAAACTTCTACTGTAGTGAAATTAAAAGGTAAAGGTGTTTTTATTGAGCCGAATTATCAATAAAATCATGATTTTGTTAACAGGTATGAATATATGTGCTGTCGAGTTAATATTTTCGAACAAGAGCACAGTAAAGTTAAATCAGCTAATTTTCCAATGAGGTTCTGTTACTAAACAGAACTACACCATGATCTTCTCAGGTTAGTACATATAGGGTCACAGACATAGTACTAGACACCAAACATCTTTTTAACTTTGACTCATTTCTTTAACAAAGAGACTAAACACAACTCACCTACTCTCTTCCAGCAGACGCTTGTTTGTAGAGAGACCTCAGGCCAGTCCATTATGGACTACAGCGGGGTGACACAGCTCAAGGAAGAACATTTATGATCATTTCTTTATCATTTCCTTGAAGTAATAATCACCATATTAATCGTTTTACAGACGCGGTAGTTCTTCTGTCTTAGCGTCTCGGTCTGATTGTATTTCCATGAAGAAATGATCATAAGGGTTTCTAGGATCCCATCAGAGGAACCTTTTCAAATAACAGACTGACCAAATCATCTTCATTCAGGATCCACTTTTGACCTTTCAGGACCTTTTCAAACTCATTTCATGTCTCGCTGATAAAAACTGTTTGTGTGACCTGCTGAAACCGGACTGATCTGCTCTCTGTGTGTCATTTTGGAGAGGAGTCTGGCTGACGTGGTCTGGACTAGCTTTAAAGACCCTAGTCCACATTATCTTCCCTGTCTCTCTGCTCCTCATGTTTCAGCTTTCTTATCTAAAGAAGGTAAAAGTGCCCAAAAATATCAAACTGTCAGACTTTCAAAGCTTGGATCATGCAGATACTTACCGAGGTGGATACCTGCAGAAAAATAAAGGTACAGATGACATGTTTGTGTTCCTGTACACCCACTGGACCCAGGTTGGTCTGGATCAGCCTTATAGATCTTCAGTACAGATACCTCACAGACTGGCCTCCAGCCTACAGTCTCTCTCTCTCTCTCTCACATAAACGGAGAGCCTGAGAAGAAGCCGAGCATGTCGATGGATTCAGTCTGAGAGACTCGTCAGTCTCTGAGCTCCATAAGAAAAAATGAAACGGCGTCTGAAAGGATGACTTGTCCAAACGTGTGAGGAGTGGTCTGGAGCTTAATGGAGCTGCTGGTCTGCAGGTTTAGTGGGCTCTAATAGTTTATTACAGGAGATGGCAGCTCTGAGTAATGACTCCTACCTTGTTTCTTGCAGCTTAGATAAACTGCTGGATTCGGGCTTGTATACTGGCGAGATAACGGAGCTGTCGGGAGGCCCGGGGAGTGGAAAATCTCAGGTGAACATTTTCCTCCCCTCCCTCTCTATCGCTGATAATTTCAGCCTCATAAATTCCCTCCTTTAAGCTAATCTCTTCTTCAGTAGGATGGGAAATTACTCTCTGTCTGGAGTTAAACTTATCAGACTTTCATTTTTGCACTCGTACAGATTCAATAAGCCGCGTTAAAGCGCCTGTTTCCGTCTGTTTCAGGTGTGCTTCGGTGTCGCGGTGCACATTTCCTTCCACCTGAAACAGAGCGTGATCTTCATCGATACGACAGGAGGCTTCACTGCCAGCCGCCTGCTTCAGATGCTTCAAACTGAGACCAGGAACACGGAGGAGCAGGTGGGCTGTCAGGGTTCGAAACTTCGACACTGATTACATGAGAGGTGATGAAAACAATAAAGTCTGATTTCACAGATGGAAGCTCTGCAGAGGATCCACGTCTTCCGCCTGTTTGACGTCTACGCTCTGCTCGACTGTCTCTACAGTCTTCGTGGTGGCGGGCTTCAGCAGGTTTGTTTGTTTCCTCGCCTTTATTCCTAAAGTACCCCCCCACACACACACACACCTGTACCTGAGAGACGCGGTGAAGGACAGATCCAAATTTGAGCTATCTCATTTTGTCATATTTCGCATTAGGCGTCTGTCGGCGGTGGATCTGTCAAGGCGGTGATCGTGGACTCGGTGTCAGCTGTTATCTCTCCTCTACTGGGAGGCAAACCGAATGAAGGTGATATCTCCTTTTACTGGTCCATCATCGTCCATCATACCTGCGGCTGTGTTTACACCTGAGCCTGCAAACTCCAAGTGTCTGTCTGTTATCTGCTAAATAAATCTCACAGCAGGGCTCTCACATATTTACAGACATGACACCTGAGTTAACAGACGTCATCAGAGAGATTGTTCTGTCGTGTTAGAAACACCTCCGTTGGAAATGTCAGAGTTCTCCAACACTTAGAAATGAAGCTGTTTGAAGGAACGACGACAGCTCTGAGCCTCAGATAAAGTTTATTTATAATCTCTGCTGCTCTTCTCCGATCTCTGAATTATCAACAAACTTTGCTGGTTTATGAAACTACAGGTCGATTCTTGAGGGTCTGAGTCTGCTCACAGATACTGTTGAAGAAAACAAAATCACCCCTAATTTCTACCGCAGCCTGATCGTCTCCTAAAAGGTCGTATCCTCCGATCGTAGCTGATCGTAACCATTCAAGTTAACGTGTCAATTTACACCGACTTCGGTGGAATCGCCGGACTCCTCAGCTGATCGCAAGAGTTTAAGTGAAAGGTTTTTAGACGTCATTTCACCCCGATGACACCATGGATGAGGAGATGCTGATTCTAGAAGTCTAGAAGTAGATTTCCTCCTCTGGAAGGACACAATCTACTGCTTATATATCTATGTGTCTGTCTTTATAGAGACAACTCGTTATTGTGCGATTGAATATAAATCGGCGAGTTCTTGTGATTACTGCTGTCTGTAATCGACCATGAAATTAGAACACACCCTGTGGTAGTAAATAAGAGTAAAAGGTAAAAAAAAAAAACAGAATTCTATAAAAATTAAAACGGAAAAATGGAATTTGGGAAAAAAATAAAACCGTTTTTATTTTGCCGTAGTTCCACAACAACACATTTGTTCAGTGTGGCGAACATTAGCAAAGCTCACACCATCTACTAGTTTAACATCCACAGTCCTGTTACGCAATTCCAACTGACATACGAGCGCGTCGACTAGTAACGGTGAATGTAGATAAGGAGCTACTACCCAAAACTGCTGTCAGTGGACACAGGCCCTTAAATGAGTAATGTAAAGAGCACCTGAGACTCTTCCTGTGGGGTCCATGAGTGTCTGCTGTAAATTTCAGGAGACCCCGTCTTTGTTTTTACTCTGAGTACCAAAGTCAAGGACTGTCTGACATTGTCATTCCAGAGCTGCGCTGAGCTGCGCCGTGGCGTTATTCAGCCTGAAGAATATTAAAGACTGTAAATAGTCGGACAGTCCTCTGCTGCCTCACTTCCTCATTAAACACCATCAAAAGACGTGAAGAGCATTCTGCCCACGAACTCACCCTCTCTGCAACTTTGCTGCGCCTGCAGGCATGTCCTTGATGATCCAAGTGGCAGGAGTTCTGAAGACGATGGCGAAGGACTTCAACGTCGCCGCTTTGGTAAGGATGACGCTCTCTGACGGGCGCTGCTCGAAATGCAAGAAGTGTCTCTGCTGTCAGTCTAAAACTCTTTCACACTTCCTCCTCTTATTCTTGTGAGACCTGGAGTGGAGAGTAAACACGTTTCATCTCGTTTGGGTCAGAGAAATAAAAAAAAACTGAAGGTTTGGTGTTTCTGACGACAAAGATCTGTGTGTGTGTGAGTTCAGGTGTGTTTGACTGCAGGATGTAATTCTGTAAAACACAAACTAATCACATTCAAAAGCATTCAGCAAAGAAACTGTGCCGTCACCTCGAATCATTAAGTGAGATAAAGATCGTTTGATTGGCTCTTTGACGGTCCCGCCTGATTAGAAGTGTCCTACTTCATCAATCGTTCTGTCTCCTCCTCATTAAACCATAAAACACTGTGAAGTCACGCAGTCAGAGCCCCCGGAGAGAAAATCAACTCTAAAGATGACGCTTTCTGGGCCTGCAGGTTACTAACTACCTGACGAGGAGCGGCGGCGGCGAGGTGCAGCCGGGCCTCGGCGTGTCGTGGAGTCACATCCCCAGAACCAGACTGCTGCTGGAGCGGGTGGACAAGGCGGCGGTTTTCAGCCCCTCCAGTCTGCGCTCTGCGACACTGATCAAGTCTTCCAGACAGGTACGGCGCTCAGCATTGACTTTCAGGACAGCCGGCTCAGTATTGATCTCGCCAAAGGGGTTCGGTTGAGAGGGAAATGCCAAAGCGTTAAAAGTTCAAGTTGGTTAAAGCTGAAGTTTGTTTTTTTTACAAACTGGTGTCCATGAGAAAGTCTGTATTTTTGTTGACAGGACAGATTTTAAAGGTTTGTAAATCAGAGAAAATATCAGAAAATATGAGTTTGTTTGTTTTTATGAAAAGTACCTCTTTTTTTTTATAAAATGTTGATGCAGGAATAACGAAGCACCAGAGGAGATGTGTGTAATGTTAAAAAAAAAAAAAGCAGGTTAGAAATACGACTGTGTGAAATTAAGAACATTCAGAGAGGAAGTCTCTAACAGTTACCCAGGATTTACACCGCATCCGGAACAGTGGTGATGTTCGCCGTCCGCCAATTCCTACTGGATCCGTTTGTGAGGTGAATTTCGTGGTGGATTATGGACAGCAGGAATCACGAGAACTCAAAGAACCCGAGGATTCACGTCCAATCCCGTGATATCGAGTTGTCTCTCTAAAGACAGACACATAGACATATAAGCAGTAGATTGTGTCCTTCCAGAGGAGGAAATCTACTTCTAGACTTCTAGAATCAGCATCTCCTCATCCATGGTGTCATCGGGGTGAAATGACGTCTAAAAACCTTTCACTTGTTCGTCTCCGCCCGTTTGCATGGTGTGAAATACGATCCTCCTGAAACACGGAGTGTTTTATTTTGAAAAGAAGCCGGATGTTTTATTTTGAAGTCTGTGCCCGACTTCCTTTCCAGCACGGGTTAATCTGTGCTGAATTTATCCGCCATGCTCCGGCGTCCAGAAAAAATAGAACTCTTGTGATCAGCTGAGGAGTCCGGCGATCCGCAGAGGAACGGAAAGAAGTCGGTGTAAATTGACACGTTAACTTGAATGGTTACGATCAGCTACGATGAAAATGGGGGGTTAGGATGGGAAGAGGAGCATCACTCTGCATTAAAAACAAACATGACTCTGTAGTGGAAGTCACCGCATGAGCTCATCTCTGCATCCATGAATGAGGGTCAAACTTCAACCATAGATTTAAACATGATCTGGACTGTTTAAACTGGACTGAGAGGATGTGGAAGTCAAAATCTGAGTCTGTGTCCCGGGTATCTTCCTCATCTGTGAAGGTTCCTTTAATCCTGAACAACATCTGCAGGTTTAGGAGAATCAGGAGTCATTTCACTGTCTCTGCAGAGTTTTCAGTAAAATCATCAAAAGTGCTTCGATCGTCTTCCTCTAAACTCCTTTTTGTTTGTATCTGAAATCGTCGCTCTGTAAGATGTTAATGAGAGAAGTGTGTCAGCTTCTACTTCTCCAACCGTCTATATCTACGCTCACGTCCTGGTCCAGGGTCCAAAGTCATGTAAGGGGCCTGCGATGTGACAGAAACCCAAACCCAGAGTGATCATCCATCAAACCTCCGAGTCTTTGGTTTGAAGTGGATTCTTCGCAGCCGCCTGTCTGGCGTCTATTTGAAGCTGTGATATCTCTCATTGTGGACCACAGGGATAATTACTGCTCATCAAAGTCTTTCCATCGCGCCTGTTCTTCAGATGATCTCCTTTTTTCTCCTTCAAAGCTCCCATCTAAGTTCCGAACATTCACTGGGTTTTTAGGCTGAACTTCTATAAAGACAGTTAGAGCGGTTTTACTGGGAACTGAAAATACGCTTTCAATCAAAGAGGCTCCGACGCTTTTATTCACATATTTGATTTGGAGTGGGGGTCCTCTCATATTCAGGGTCGAGTCTTTTGGGTCCGTATTTGTGTGAGCAGAGTGAAACTGAGGCCCGCTTCAGTCCCAGCCTCAGAACCAGGAGGATGAAAGACGAGGAAACTTTGCTGTCGGAGCAAAAGAGGACGAGAAAACTGACGACGGAGGACGAGTTTTCACATCCGCTCTGCAGAGTTATGACCGCAGCAGAGAGAGACGGACGGATAAGGAGTTTAATCTGTCAATAAAAACACTAAACCAATGATAAAAACAAGGCGTTAAAGATGAAATAAACAACAGAATAGACCAAGAAAATTAAAATAACTAAACTAATCAATTCTGAACAGGTCGGTCTTTAAAAGTCTGAATATTTGAGGATCCTCTCAGATCCTCGACAGACTGATCCAGAGTCCTGATGGAGCGTAAAGACTGACGCCACCAAAGATCTGTGAGATGTAGTCTGGAGGAGGAGGTCCTGGTACAGAGACTTTCAGACAGGAGGTCTGGGTGATCTCCTTCTGCAGTGTTCAGGATGATCTGCAGCAGGTTTCTGGTCCTCTTTGGTAGACCAGTAAGGAGAACAGTACTAAAGTCTAACCTGCAGACATGAGACTCTGAGATCTTTAAAAACGCTTTTAAACCTGGAGACAGTTTTAGTCTGTGGGTCACAGCGGCGTCAGTCAGCTGAGATTAAACTATTTAACTCAAGTCTCTTAAATTTGGGTTTAAAGTACAACCCGTTAATAAAACTCTGATTTAACTCTTAAACTCTTTAAAATGTTCAGATGTTTTTAGAAAACAAGGAGAATTCCTCACAGGTTTGATCGTTCAGTCTGTCTTCAGTTTTTTTAAATCGTCTGTTAGGAGATTAAAAACATCCACCAGCCTGAACCCAGAACCTTTAAAAATAGAGACAGATGAAGGTTTTGTGTGTTTGATCGAGTTCATCAGCGCTCTTCTTCTTCTTCCTCTTCAGCGCTGTCACATCAGAGCAGAGTTCGACCTGAAGTGGTGGAGTCGCTCTGAAGACACGTCATCTTCACGAAAAAGAAAACTGGAGGAGACGGATTCCTGACGAGGGAGAAATCCTTGGTGTTAACGTCTCCTCAGAGATTTCAGGTGCGGAAGTCTGTGAAATGCTGACGTCGTCATTTTTCCTCCTAAATATAGAAGTGATTGAAGCTTTTATTCTGAAAGTCTCTCCTTCCTCAGAGTCTCTGTGGTTCTTGATTGCATGAATATTTCAGTTTGATTTCAGGACGTTTATTCTCTCCACTCTGAACCAAACTGGGCTCGGCCCCGCCTCCTCCTGAAACCTCACAGTCTCAGCTGACCTCTATCAGCTGATGGAGGTCAAAGGTGTCGACAAGAACTCCTGATAAACCGCCTTAAATAAACCTGCTGTAAAACTGCGAGTTCATAGTGGTGGTTCATTTAAAGGTGTTGTAGTCAGGATCTGAGGAGGTTCCAGTTTTTAGGAGAAATCTTGAATGTAAACTCTACCCCTCCAAACCAGTTTTCCCCTCAGCTCCTCCTCTCCCCTCAAGCCCCGCCCACAAACAGACGCTCCTGCTCGCTCGTATCGTTCCAATTAAATTCAGATATAATGCAGATAAATACTTCAGATCATTACAAATGGGGCCCAGTCAAGGTGAAAGTCAAAAGCATTGGTGCTACTGTAGATGCCAACAGACTACCAGCAAACACAATGTTTGCAGGACTTCTACAACGAGGATAAAGTGACATAGTCCAGGACCCGAGGGAGGACAGTTTAGCGATGGCGCTACAACACGCTACAGCAGGTCCGTTTGACAAGAAACACTTCTGTTACAGACACTTGTCTTACTTTGTTAAAGCGGTTTACCTGTCCAGCAGAAAGGTTACAGGGTCACCAAGATCCCCAAGCGTCCCCCATCGTTTATGTTGACCCGGCTTTTTAGCTCTTGTCCGGTCTACCTCCGTTTTAAGCGCCCGTTATTCCTCCAGAGTCTCCGGTATTTACTTTGTTTTCTCGCTTGTGTCGGCAGTCGTGGCCAAAGGAGGATTCAGACAATTTTCCGAACTTTCTGGTTGGTTTCTACTGTCCGATATTGTAGCACGCTAACTTTGTTTGGGCTCCTGAACGACACGGGGGAGCGGCGTCTGCCTCACAACCAATCAGGTTAGAGGAGGTGGAGAACGGCTTTGTTTACAGTCAGAAAGAGCGGACCGCTCAAAAACTACACAGGGATGTCGTTATATTACCAAACGTCAATCAACAACTACGGTGACCATATTCTTCCAGAAAGAGGACACAACTACGCAGGGGTCGGATCGAGTGTCTTTTACGAGCTTCTAACTCAGTAAGTTATCGTGACAACAAACTGAAACTCTTGTACAAAACCTCGGACATTTTAAGGATTTTATAAACTTCTCCCAAAAAAGACGACATGTCCTGGTAAAAGAGGACGTACGGTCACAATAACTATTGACTGATATTAAAGCTTTTTTGTTTATACGCCATGAAAAAAGGTGCTTCTTTAACGGATTCCTGCCTACCCCGCCTTTAACGGTCTGCTGTCAGAGACCACAAAGACCCTCCTCCTGTGCTTTTTTCCGTCTTTGTGGTGGAAACTCTGCAGAGCGTCGGCAGGTTCATGCTGGTTCTGCCTCCTCTGAGCTGAAAGATATTCAAACATTTAATTAAGCCACCTCAGAGCCTGCAGGATATGAAAAGGCAGATCTGAAATGCCATTGTTGAAAGCCGTTCAGAGTTGGGAGGCTGCAGCAGAGAGTCTTAGGGTTTAAAGTGGATGATGTTTAATGTATTAAGTTTAGGAGGAGGAGGAGGAGGAGAGCCGCCTTAATGCTCCTCACATGATCTTTGACGGATCCATCATGTCTGTAAGAGGTCGTTTTCAGAGCCGTTCATCCCTACAAACACAATTAGCAGAGGAGAGAGCGTCAGAGTGATGTTAGTGAGACGTCTTTATTGTCTTTATCAGTGTTTGTTTATTTCTAACGGCAGACACATTTGGGTTTCCTTCAGCTCATGCACAGACTTTAATACCTGCTAAATGTTTAACAAAGGCCGTAAAAACCAACGCCGCTGCCGCTGCTGCTGGAACACCCTGCTTACTCATTCACCGGTCCGGACTGAGATTTATGTTTCATGATTTCTCTGTAAATTGGTTTCCATGATTTACTGGGACTCATGTTGCAGATTTAACTCTTTAACTACTAGAAAATGTCCATACAAAACTCTACATCTACTGTACAGTTCAAGCTCAAACAGACTCTTTTCATCGGCTGCATCTGTGTCTGAATTTTACAGCCGGAGCGGTAAAAACTGAAGTCCCCAAAACCAAACGTGGACCGTAGGAGTCCACTTTTATTACAAGTGTTTAAAAACCCGAGAAAGTTCTGGAGGGAATGAAGAGAAATTGGGTCGGTTAAAAAGAGTGTTCATGTGGTTCAGAACTTTGAGTCTCTGTTTTGTCGTTAACAGGGGGGGACCACGCGCCTTTTGCGGATACACTCCCAGATCCAGCTGGATGAGACTTTCTGGGCGTGGCTGTCCTCTTCAGGTTCAGCCAGAGTGTGCGTGGCCGAGGCGGCGTCGTAGTCCGCCACCAGGTCTCCGTCGTACGCCACAAAGTAGCGCCTCAGTTTGTCGAAGTCCTGCACTGAGACGGGCAGGAAGAGCTTCACCCCGCTGAAGATGTCCAGGAGAGTCTGCAGGAGGAGGAGGAGAGGAGGACAGGAGTCAGGAGCAGCTGGACCGAGAACATCTGATGTTTTATAAAAAGAAACTTTGGTCTGAATTTTCTTTGATGTTTTCAGTTCAAACACAAGTCTAACATTTCCTACAAAGTTCTGCTTTCTTCCTCAAGTTTTGGTTCTTTGGCACCAACATTAACCCCCAAAAGTCCGAAACAGTTCATGACTTGAGATGCTTTTTGACCAAAGACAACGAACTTTTATCTCCAGGAACTTCTCTCTTTAGTCTTCAGTCCCTGAGTCTCTTGTTCTGCTGTTTACCTGCTTTCACACAACGTCTCGATCAGCTGCAGGATCTTCTAGGAGGCTTCAGGAGATGCAACAGATCATGCAGTTTGACTCTGAACATGTTATAGTGCATGCAAGAAAGAAAGAAAGAGGGGAGCGCAGAAAAGAGACGAAGTCAAACTAAAAAAACGTAGAAATGATGAAACGAGCTGAAGATAGACGACTTAGACGGCCGACTGTGACCGAGTCTAAGAGTAAAGTTAGTAACGACAGAGTCCAGGATGTTTGGTATTAAAGTTTCAGTTCAGACTCATGCGGTCAGCTCTCCTCCCTCTAATAATCACAGCGGTGATCTGACTTCGCCCTGACTCAGACTCAGGACCTGGACTCCAGTCTAGGACTCTGTAAACAGTCTGGATGCGGACGCGCTCATAGACTGACCTTGTCGTTCCTGGGCTGCAGGAGCTGAGACGTGGTCTTGGTTTTTGTTTGTCCGTTACTCTGAACACTTTCACTCTTCTTCACCTGGTGAGGAGACAGAAAAACCTTCAGCTGACGCTTCGATCGGTCTGATGTCAGGTTACATCAGGCGGAGTTACACACAAACCTTCTTAGCAGAGGGAGCGTCTGAGCCCGGAGTACGAGGCTCTGATTTGACCGCCTTTGGTTTGGGTGTGCTGCTGCTGCCACCGCCACCGCCACCGCCGCCACCTGTAAATGAACATCAATCATATGAGCATCACGCAGTGACATCACTGATTTAGTCTGGTTTTACTTGAACTTCCTGTTTTAATGACCTTCATCTTACAGAGAAATAAACACCAACCTTTCTGAAACTGTTTGTTTTATGACTTCACTGAAAATACAGGAACTTCTGACGTCTGTGAGTCATACGGAGGTTAAAGTCACGGTTGACGATCGGTAATTATTATGAAACTCGTTTCTATGACTCTTGAAGCTAGCGTAGGATCTTCAGAGGGGGTGTGTCGTGGGGAGGGTGATACAGGTTCAGGGGGCGGAGTTATGGTGGAGCACAGAGGGGAGAGGTTTGTGTGGAGGGTGGGGGGACGCTTTTTTCTAATCTGCCTCTACGGCTCAGTTTCTTTCAACTGTTTCTCAGATCGTCAACCATGAAAAGTGTAACACCTGTTCGTCTGTAAAAACTCCTCACTGCGCCTTTAACACGTCTGCAATGACTTGACTAAACAGGCTAACAGTAAACGGGCAGTTTGACAGTAACGGGTCACTTTAAGGCTTCTGGGTAAATCCTCACCATCACCACCATTCCTGCAGCAGGAAAACTCAGTGAAGCTTCCAGTTTCGGTTCGTTAACTTACCGGCCTTCTTGGGCGTCGCGCCTCCGCCTCCACGTGACGAGGACGACGGCGAGTTCCCCCCGCTGTCCCCTCCTGATGAGCCCTTGTCGTCGTTGGAGGAAGACGGTCCGGCCGTCACCGTGAAGTCGCAGTTCTCCTTGGATATGCGGTACAGCTCCTGAGCAGAGGGATGGCGTGACAACAGCGGAGAGATGTAACGTCGGGTGTCATGGCAGATTAAAGAGGCGGGCGGCTGTTACTTAGCGCAGGCGTGTTTTATCGCCTCGGACGATATTTCAGCTCGTTCATCAAGGTTTGGAGGAGAACTCTGACTGCTAATTTGGTCCTCCTCATTTAAATCACTTAACTCATGCAGTCACAGAGGAGCTTTGTTCACTTTCTCTCCTCCCCTCACTTTTATCATATTGTCCTCTCTCACCCGCCGTCCATCATCCCCCAGATGAAAAATGAAAACGACAACAAACACGCCGAGGTCAAAAACTTTGTGTATCTAGTATCAGGCAGCGAACAGATATCAGCGCCATCTTTCAGGATAATTGCTTCTGCCCTCAGGTAACTTCACCTCCTCTGTGAGTTCTGTCCTTGAATGAGCCGTTATCTAATCTGTGAAGCAGGAAAAAGATTGAATTTTAACACAATTATCGACCTAATCTGAGTCTGACACTGATGCAGGAGCTGGAAACGCTTCTGTTAGAGTCGATACGCCGATATCCTACCTTTGGTTAGGAGACCTCTGAAAAAATAACCAGTTAGGAGACGCCTTCACATCAACAAAGTCTGTTATAGCTGCGACTAGAAGAATGATGTATTTTCATAAATTTGATAAAGGAGGTGCAGCTGGGAAATAAATCTGGTTTTTGTTAAATTCAGAGTTTTTCCAAAAGTAAAAGAAGTGAAAGTTTGAACACTCAGTCATTTTTGAGGCTTTCATCTTTGACCTTTTTGTCCCTTTTGGCACACACTACTTTAGCACTGCGGCTGTGATGGAAAATAACGACCCTTTCAAAGTAATGTAAGCTGAAGTAAGACTACAATCATGGCCGACAATCTAGAGATGCACCGATTGCAATATTCTTGGCCGATACCGATTTCCGGTTTTAAAGGAGGTCTGACCTGCCAAAACCGATTTTTCCGATACCGATTTTCTATCTGAGAAATAATTATAATCATATAATAGACACCATATTTGTTTTCCCAATTTTAATTTAAGTACCCCTCTCCCAGACAACATTTTGCTTAACTGCAATTAAAAGCACAACTAATGGTAGGCTATATGCTATCATAACGCCCCTTTTCAAGAATAAAACCTCACAAATACGAAATAGAGTGAGAGTGTCAACAGTGCCTCCTGAGCAGATTTATTTTCAACACTGACCATAACATTCAGTCCAGTTTACAGGTCAATAACTAACTTACATTCAAACAACATTCAAAAACGTCCCAGCATTTGCCTGGTACAATGTAATTTATTGACTACCCCTCCAGTACCTCTCTCAAACGACTCTGGCAGCGCTGTGTCAGAAAAGTACCGCCTACTTGGTAGTTTGTACCAATCAACGCCTAAGACATTTGGAACAACAAACTTAATACGCCACTTGGAAAAGAAGCACCCAGGCGTGTTTAGCAAATATAAGGACGAAGCTGCCGCTAAGAGGAGGGATGCAGCAGAGTCGCAGCGACCACAACAACCCTCCGCCGTGGCTCATATGTTCGACATCAGCACTGAAAAGTCCAAAGCCACCACTAGGAAAATAATGGAGCTCGTGGCCCTGGAGGACCAGCCGTTTAGCGTAGTACAGGATAAAGGCTTCGTAAATCCGGTGAAACACCTGAGTCCACGGTACAAATTACCAAGTCGGGTGTTTCATCAGATTTACCAAGCCTTTATCCTGTACTACGCTAAACGGCTGAGTTATCGGTGCATCTCTAGTCTGCACCGGTGCTCACTTATGGCAGGATTTACAGGTAGTGCGCCGGCAAAAATGGAGGAGGAGGAAACAACAAACTAATATAAGTTCCATATGTGTCCATCTTTGTCTTACTGACAAAATAATCACAAAAGACGTGGTTTGGAAAGATCAAACTAAAGTCGGAAATCTTCCTCTGTGCTGAGGTTTGATTTGATTGGTCAGGAGTGAGGAGGCGTCCCATACCTGCCCGTCTTCTTTATACCCTCCCATTTCAACCGAGGCGCACTCCACAGCTGTGAGTGGAACTTCATTACGTGTGACACTCTGTAGAGAAGGGCGAGTGTGTCGGGGTCGGTTTGGGATTGGACCGAAATGTCCAGACTGGCTCTACGTGTTACACTCTCTGGGGTCAGCTGACCGCACTTAAGGCCTCTGATTGGTGGAGATGCCCTTAACAAAGATGGCAGCTTAGTTTAGTATCTTAAGCTAACCATAAAAATTGTGATATTGAGCGGTTTAGATGCAAAGATCGTCCCAAAATACAATCAATGTTTAACCGTGTTTAAATATAACAGTGAATTCTGAATCCCCAAAAAGAGGACGCGACTGCGCGGGGCAGAGTCACAGAGAAGTACATTTTGGGAGTATTTTGGGTCGGGTCAGTACAAACTTAAAACTTCCAGACAAAAAGGCGGATGTTTAAAGGATTTTATAAACTTCCCCAGATGAAGCCGGACAGCCTCCAGAAAAGAGGACATGTCCACGTAAAAGAGGACGTATGGTCACCCTGTTGTCATGGAGGTGGTCTCCTACCTTTAACTGGGTCAGGTTTGTGGCCGTCTTCCAGTCCTTGTCATCGCGGATGCGGGTCATTCTAGGGAAGCGGATGGAGATGCCATCAGCGGTGTGCATCTCTGACTTGGAAAACTCCGCCCCTGTGATCTCCCAGACGGGCGCTTGCTGCAGCAGAAGAAACAAACAGTCAGATATAGGAATAAAAAGTCATTTTAACTTCAAATGGAGGAGCAGAAAGAGAAAAGACTGAACTATTCCTCCTCTGCTGCTGCATGGAGACGAGTTTGTGGATTTCATTAGAGCTCTATTCCTGGACTTGAGCAGCAGAGAGGGTCGTTTCTGAGCTGCTTCTATCCTTGACTATTTTTAGAGGAGATGCCGTTTGAAAACACCTCCCAGCTCTGCAGCTGCGGTGGTCATTATCTCAGTACGTTTGAGAGCAATTTATGTGGAGATTTGTCTCCAAGAAGACACATGCAAGAGTTTCTGCAGATATACGGCCGGGCTGAAAATGTGCTGAGGAGAGAGATCTCACCTCAGGATCACGAATAATGAAATCAGGATAATAGTTCTTGATGATTTTCAGCCAGCCGGGGATTTTGCTCGGGTCCTACACAAAGAGAGACACACACAGACACACACAGATTCATCTTGGACTTTATTACAGCCGCTCGATATTCCGGGCTGGTCGCTAAGTGGATCCTCTCTGACCTTGCTGATTTTGATCACATCCAGTTCTTTCTGGAGCCGGGCCAGCATGGCGTCATCGTAGCCTCCCGAGCACTTGGTGACGGTGCACCACTTCTTGGAGTGCGGGTCGTAGCAGCCCATTAGAAAGCTGGACATGATGCCCCCTGGTGGGTGGAAGAGCACAGAGATGAGTGACCCTGCAGCTCCACTTCATAACTCCTGCTCTGGTCTTTCTGCACAGTTCCCCTCGAACCCTCTACAAACCCGCCTCTCTAAACCTCGGCGCCCCGTGGATCTGTTTGTTGTCTCTCAGTCTGTTTCATCTGATTTGTTGTTTCCGCTCTTTTAGCTCGCCGTCACGCTGCGTGCGCCGCTGTCTTCATTAGCCATGCTTCTCAGATTTGTACCTTTGTTTTTGCATCTTTTATGTCTCCACTTTACAGAACGCTCATTAACCAGCCTCCTCAATGTCTTCTACTTCCTGCCTGTTTCCATCTCGTACCCATTATATCCTCTCTTTATGCTTCATCTGCATATTTCTCACCTGTTCTCGGCTGATCACTGTTTGTTCGAAGGCGGCTTAATCAACTCTTTTATTTCCATCCCAACCATCTTGTCTGAGTTCAGTCGATGAATTTGTACCTCAGTGATTTACAGCAAACAGAACAGACCCTCTGGTACGTCAGGGGGGGATATTTGCGCTCTCATTTTACAGTCCTGGGACTCCCTGACCCCCGATCTCCACCTTCATCCTGATCGTCTCCTAAAAGGTCGTATCCTCCGATCGTAGCTGATCGTAACCATTCAAGTTAACGTGTCAATTTACACCGACTTCTTTCCGTTCCTCTGCGGATCGCCGGACTCCTCAGCTGATCACAAGAGTTCTATTTTTTCTGGACGCCGGAGCATGGCGGATAAATTCAGCACAGACTGTCCGTAACCTGCCACGAAATTTGCCTCACAAACGGATCTGGTAGGAATTGGCGGACGCTGTTGTGGATGTGGTGAAAATTAGGGGTGAGAGCTTCAAAGGTCTGAAGTGTCCTTTAGAGTGTGAGGATTTAGGAACAGATGTGACTGACCGTTGGAGCCTTTTCCGTAGAAAGCTCCCAGAACCACCAGGTCTGCTGTGTCCGCCATCGCCCCCTCGTTCAGGTAGTCCTTCTTCACCTTCAGCCAGTGACGTTTCCCTGGTTCATAAGATCCCTGATTCATAAACACACACACACACACACACACACACACACACACACACACACAGCTTAAGTCTCCTTATATTTCTCTACTTCGTTTCATTAGGAGTCGAACACTAAAGTAACGCACCTTTAAGTCTTTGAGCACCAGACCCTCCAGTCCCTCTCTGATGACACGGGTGATCATATCGGCCAGATCAGCTGCTCTCTGACACACACATAAACACACACACGTGTTTAATATCAGGTGTGTTACAGACGTTTAAACACACATTCAGAGTTTGACTCACAGTGACGTGTTTCATCTCTGAGAACAGGATCCTGTTCGGGACTTCCACCATGTTGTCATGGAGGAACTTCCTGCGTTCGCACAGAGGTCTGGAGGAAACGACAGGGTAACATCAGGTGACGTACAATATTACAGCAGAAATATGTTTAACTGAGGGTTAGTGTTTCTGTGAGGGTATTCAAGGTCACTGATGTTGGAGAAAATGCTGCAGTGAGGTTAAGTCGTCACCTTTAAAATAAACATGAGAAAAAGACGTTTAACCTGAACGAGTCGGTCTTCTGTCTCTGGACTTACAGACGACTGTGTTTAAGCTCAATCAGACTGTTATTTAAAGGGCCGGTATCATGCTTTTCCACACTGACAACAAAACTACAAAGTTAAAATACTCGGTGTCTTTACTAAATGTATGTAAAGTTTTAATAAATGTTTTCATAATCCGAGAAATGATGTAAACTGATCGGAACAAGAGTCTGCGCTAAAACCTGAAACTCACTAAATTCCTGCGTCAGTGTTTGACCACGATAGAGGAGACGAACTCGGAGAGGCGGCCAATCAGTTTATCAATAATACTGATAAAAAAACATTAGTATTATTGATAATATTCACTCTGTAGAAGATGTGTAATCTTATAAAGTCAAACTATCAAACTCCAAAATAAATGAAGAAGATTTGAAACTCTACAAAGATCATCTAGAAAGTTTCACGTCTATGCTCCAGTGTGGGTTCGTGTGTTGAGGTTTGTGAGTGTATAACAGCATCACTCCTGAAAAGAGCACATTACCTCTCCATGAGACTGACGCCGTTGAAGTAAATACAGTCAAAGACAAACAGGCACACGTTGGCGTCCTGAAAGGCCGCTTTCTGAAGGGGGGCGGAGGAAACAACAGAGTGTGAGGTTCAGCTTCACCCGGTGGACACAGACAAACACGAGTCCAGGAATATGAGGTGCTAATTGGCTGTTGTGTTCTCACCTTGTGAACGCCGAGCGTCCCGAAGGGCAGAGGTTTACTGGTGTTGGTGTCAATTAGGAGGACCTCAGCGTCTAATATCATACTGTTGCCCCCGGGAAAGGCCTGAGGGATGTAGTCCTTAAAATGGACCACCTGAAACAGACGCAGGAGCACAGACCACATGAGGGGTCAGGGACTGAGGAGGAACCAGAGCAAGACTTGATAATCTGGGACCAGCAAATCTGATCAAATCTGGAACAAATCAGATTAATGATGAAGCGACGACAACATCAAAACTCTGTTCAGCTGTGACCCCACAAAAATCTGTGTGTGTGTGTGTGTGTGTGAGCTGAAGAGAAGAACTTGGAAACTATGACGCCAAATTGGCTCGCCCTGGATCTTTAAGGTCACGATACCACGTGTGACCCTCCTCCAACATCAGCCTGGACCTGCAGCTGTTCACTCAACATGAACATCTGACCTTCTTCTCTTCTGAACAGCTGTTGTGGAGTTTAACTCTGGACTGGACATGTGCAGAGAGAAACCAGTAATGTGAGGCGTTCCCATGTCCAATATCTTTATCAGCCCAACAAGGAAACGCTGTTCTTCTGGGTGTGAGAACAAGTTTTTATTCTAACATCTGCAAGATCATCCCTCATGAGCTCATGGTCTCCTCATGTGTCATAAATGTTCATCTCAGACTCCTCCGTGTTTGAACTTCTCCTCGAAGCTGGAGGACAGAGAGTGATTTCATATTCAGGAGTGTTTCTGATGGGCTGACCTTGTGCGGTAACACGGGTTTGAGGCTGCGGCTGAAGTAGCTGAAGTTGTCTCCGTTCTTGTGGACCTGCACTCGCTCTCCGTCGTACTTGATCTCAGAGTACATCCCGTTGGGACACTTCTTCATGGCGTATTCGACGGATTTACACGCCTCTGCCTGAAATCGGGGAAGAAAACGATCATGAGCTGAAACAAATCCTCACAGAGAAGAGAACTCATTTAAGAGTTCATCCTCCAGCCTCTGCTACTCCATTTCCTTAAATTTGATTATGTGCATCTTATTCTCATCGTCGAGCTGTATTATAAGCAAAACAAGGATGATAATCAAGAAGAAAAGGAGCTGAATAAGGACTGGGTTAGGTTGATTCTCTATACTCTATTGGAAATGGTGCAAAAACAGCAGATTAAGCTTAAAAACGTCAGTTTTATTGTATAATCAAAAATATTTGTTAGTTTTTTACATTTTTTGACATGAATATGTTTGAAAAAGTTTGAATATTTCCCTCTGTGACCAGTTTTAGAGTTTTGAGAGTTCATTATTTCACACAAACACATTTGATGTCTTTGGTTTCAGCTGCTCAACAGTTTAGAAGAAAAACAAACTCCTAACAGATTCAGTCGTGGAGTCTCCTTCACACAGACCACTTCATCACTAAATACCAGTGGAGGTTCACCTCTTTTTCTAACATAAGGAAGCTCTAAAGGGACATTTTTCAGGACTTTACTGTGTGATTCATTCATAAAGTGAGCGCAGATGAACTTAATGACTCTTGTGTTAAAGCGTGTAATTTAAGGCGAGCTGTGTAATGTGCGGTGAAACGGTCAGTGAGTGGAAAACACATAGATTCAGAGTGCAGAGTTAATGCTGTGGTTTAGGAGATGAGACTCAGGATTAGTGAAGTTTTACAGCTCAGAGTTATCAGTGAGGTCCAGCTGCTGTCTGTAAGGATACACACTGATGAAGAGGAGGAAGAGGAGGAGGAGGCAGCAGCTGGAAAAACAGAGTCTGTTCAACATCCTGTGAAGTTCAAGACGAGTGAGAGAGACTCTGAGGGTCTGTGTGGATCTTCAGGAAAGAAAGTGAAGGTGGGAGAAACTACCTAACAGAGATTTGTAATCTCAATGGGACCAACCTGGTTAAATAAAAGATCAATGGAATAATTTAAATGTCTGTCAGCTGGATGGATGGGTGGATGGATGTATGGATGGATGGATGGTTAGATGGATGGATGGATTGATTGATGGATGGATGGATTGATGTTCAACAGATGGATGGATGGTGTTAGATAGACAGATGGATGGATGGATGGCTGATGTTGGATGGATGGATATAGGGTGTTAGATGGACAGATTAATGGATGGATAGTGGCTGTTGGATGGATGGACAGACAGATGGATGGATGGATGGATGGATGGATGGATGGATGGATGGTTAGATGGATGATGGATTGATTGATTGATGGATGGATGGATGGTTAGAAGGATGGATGGATTGATTGATGGATGGATGGATGGATGGTTAGATGGATGGATGGATGGATGAAAGAATTGATGTTTGATTGATGGATGGATGAATGGATGGATAGTTGGATGGATGGATGGATGGATGGATTGATTGATGGATGGATGGATATTTGATGGATGAATAGATTGATGGTATTAGATGGATGGTTGGATGAATTGATGGATGGATGGTTAGATGGATGGATCGATAGATTGATGGTGTTAGATGGATGGATAGATAAATGGACTGATGGATGAATGGATGGATGGTTAGATGGATGGATGGATTGATTGATGGATGGATGGATATTTGATGGATGAATTGATGGATGGATGTTTAGATGGATGGATGGATAGATTGATGGTGTTAGATGGATGGATAGATAAATGGACTGATGGATGGATGGATTGATGGATATATGGATTGATGGTTAGATGGATGAATAGATGGACGGATGGATGGATTGATGGATGCTTATGATAACTGGTTTTACTGCTTGAGTCTGTTTGATTTGATCATGTGACCTGGTTTAATCTTTGCTTTGCTTATTCTAAGTTCGTCTTTCAGGGAATCGTCTGAAAAAACAGTTTTTAGTTCGTGTTACTTACCAACATGGGCTGAACGGGGGTCATGAGTGAGGCCTCTATGGTGAGGAGCTTCCTGGGTCCTGAACCATTGGACGCCTCCTGCTGGTTCCTCAAAACCCGCTCAACCACGTCACCGAGATTACGAGAGGCCTTGAAGGCATCGTAAGCGTTTGGATCCACGGCGTCTAAACTGTGTAAACGAAGAGTTCAAGGTTAGGATGAACGTGTCGTCTTTTCAGATCATCGAGACAGTTTTCAGTTTGATCGTGACAGAGTGAACTTACACGTGTTTCGCTCCTGCGTTCATCTTCAGGTCGTGTTTTATGAGTCGGATGATACATTTCAGGTCATTACTGGTGCATCTGTGAAGAAAACAGCGTGCAGGTTTTCACTTTGTAGTTCTTTGATCCAGCAAAGCTGTGAGGTATTCAGAGGAACCTGCTGTTTCTCAGCCGGCTTGAAAACAAATGTGTCGGATAAACAAGAACACAGCTTTGACACGAGTTGTTCTTTTTGCCCTCACCAATGTCATAAAATACGACATTTCGTTTATTTCGGTTGAGCCTGAGGCGTACGACCCTAAAAGAAGCAAAAACTGCAAAAGTCAACAAGTACTGCGAATAAAAAGACTGAGCGAGCGAAACAGGAGGAAACGAGTAAGTGCAACATTAACAAATACAGAGAAAAACCGTCGCAAAAGTCTGTCTGCATCAGCAACACCAGGGCCAAATCCTCAGGAGGGCGGAAGGATATTTTTAAGACCTACAGAAATATAAACAACACCACTGTTTCATGGGAGCACTCGCAGTAGAGCGCCGCCAATACTTCACGTTTAATGCAACGACTTAAAACCCCAGCATGCAACAGGGTACAGCGCAGAGAGAGAGGCTGCTGGAGTGAAGCTAAAACTCTGGGCTTTAAAGAGAAGAGCTAAAAGGTCGGCAGAGAAGGAGGGTGCCAGCCTGTCCTCATGGTACAAGGATGCAGGTTTGAGGTCATTTCTGCTGTGACAGCTGTTTGTTTGTTCACAGAAATTAGAGCTACACTCGTGTCCTTGTTTGGACTGATTCCTCCACTTTATATTTGAAGTTTGCAACGCCACAACGCCGCCCAGAGTCAGGGGTCTCACACAGCAGAGCATGGAAAACAGATGATACACGTATATGTGAGTTTTTAAACAACACTGACTGAAGACATCAAACAGTTGACTGATTTACTTTAGTGTTTTATTTTTGTTCAGAAAAAAAGTGTGCAGCTCTGTTACTGAGGGAAACGTAAGTAACTGATGGGACTGAAATGAATCAGAATTAGGGTCTAAACAGCTGATCTGGAGATCCCTGATCAGCATCAACACTAAGGGTCAGATGTCATGTTTGGGTTTCATTTACTAGAAATTAAAAGAGCCAGAAATGTTTGTCGACATATTTCAGTGAGGTAATCCTCTTCGTTTTATTGATTTGATTTTCTAACCCTTTTGTTCTTCCAGGATTAATTGACACGACAGATGATGATGATGAATTTTCGTACTTTTTGGCAATCGCCTCCAGCTCCGTTTGCTGATCATCCTCCTTGGTCAGCTGGGCGAGGCGGGTCAGGGACGCGTCTACTTCCTGGATGGTCAAGAGGCTCTTGGAGGCCGGAGGAAATGATTTACTGTCCTCGAAGAACATCCTCACCGTCTCAGACACGTCACCCTTAGAAGACAGAGATAAGCAGTTATTGGACAAACATCAGTCCTGACAGACGGTTCATAGACCTCAGAGATCACAAACCTGTTCCAGATCCCGGACCATGTCATCCTGGTTACATCTGAAAATGCGGCTGAAGAGTTTGACGATCTGCTTGTCGTTGAGGTTGTAGACGCTTTTGACCACGCCTGGGAGGAGGAGCTTCACTGTCAGGTAAAGATCTCCGTGGAATTTATCTAAGACGGAAAAACAAAGATTTAAGAGAAACATTTTAAACCTGGAAAACCTGATTTTAACAACAACAAAGACAAAAGAACTAAAAGTGAAACCCACCTCCTCCTGAGCCCTTCTTCAGGAACTTCTCGATGATCTGCGTCTTGGTGTTGTAGCTGTTGTTTTCGGCCACTGTGGCGCAGAGTTTGCGAAACTCTCTGAGGAGGCAGTCCTTGTGGTTGGGGTCACACAGCTGGGTGGACAGAGCGCTGCCCTGGCTGGGTTTGGCCGGAGAAGCGGAGGAGGACGGTCCTGGGCTGCTGGAGCTGCCAGCTTTTGCAGCTGAAACCATAGAAATGATCGGATCAGAACTTAACAGAGAGAAATTCACAGTCACACTTTTATTTACTGACTCCCACAGATCTGGAAAACAGATTCCTTTAAAACTGCATGTGCTGAATGACCTCTGATGATAAAATAAAAACAATCCCAAAATGTCCTTTTGTTTTTTAAATTCTTAAGAAACTGGTTTAAAATCCACTTCTAGAAATCATCAAAAGCATTTTTCATCAAAGTCAATCACAAAAGCAGCCGTATCAGCTGAGTCTGGACACTGTCCGATGTTCGCACTGCTTTACTGTATCACAGATTTAAACATGGCGGACCATCCTCCACTGACTGACCAGGCGAACAGGTTATGATTCTGTCGACATATTCGACTCTTTATCTGCTCAGACCACATGTGGAGTACCTCAGGGCTCTATTCTCGGTCCACCTCTGTTCTCCCTGTACACGATTCTTTCAGGTCAAATCATCTGTCATCACTTATTTCATAGTTTTACTGTTAATTAAATCATATAAAATATAAAAACCCTTTAAATGCAATAAACTGAGGTGCTCATCGTTGTTCCTGACAAACTCCTCAAACACATGTTGGACACATGGAGGATGTTTTTAACAGAGTTTTGAGTTTGGATCAGTCGTGTTTATTTAGCACAGAAACTTTTGTTGGATTTGGACAATTTTATCTGATAAAAACACAAAAGAACAAACATCTGTGCTTTTATTTCTTCCTGCCTGGATTATTGAAACACCATCTTTACCAGCTTTAGTACGAGCTCTGTGTTCAAAATCCTGCGGTCTCACTGAGATGAAACACTTTTCTTTGTTTACTCTCATCTTAATTAATTAATCCTTCTTCTGTTCGTTTCTTTCTCTCTTCAGGTTCTCTCCTTATCCTCTCCGCCAAATTGTTAATTTTCTTCCTGCTAAACTCCTAATTAAAAAACTCTTGATCATGTAACACCAATCCATATCCATGCTCACTTTATTCATATATTAAACATAATGGTGCCATTGTAGTCCATTTTTAATACTGACTTTACTTTAATTTCAGTTTAATCTCATTTCAAATACTCTCCTCTCTTTGTTACAGCTCTCCCTCTCTCTCTTTGTTTCGTGTTTTTCCGTGTTCTCTGTTGTTTGTTGTGATGTTATTTAACAATAGAAGCTCTGAAAAAAGACCAAGCACACCTCTCATATCACCCCTGATAATTCACGATGCAGCTGAATATACACTCACCGGCCACTTTATTAGGTACACCTGTCCAACTGCTCGTTAACACTTAATTTCTAATCAGCCAATCACATGGTGGCAACTTAGTGCATTTAGGCATGTAGACATGGTCAAGACAATCTCCTGCAGTTCAAACCGAGCATCAGTGTGGGGAAGAAAGGTGATTTGAGTGACTTTGAACGTGGCATGGTTGTTGGCGCCAGAAGGGCTGGTCTGAGTATTTCAGAAACTGCTGATCTACTGGGATTTTCACGCACAACCATCTCTAGGGTTTACAGAGAATGGTCCGAAAAAGAAAAAATATCCAGTGAGCGGCAGTTCTGTGGGCGAAATGCCTTGTTGATGCCAGAGGTCAGAGGAGAATGGCCAGACTGGTTCGAGCTGATAGAAAGGCAACAGTGACTCAAATAACCACCCGTTACAACCAAGGTAGGCAGAAGAGCATCTCTGAACGCACAGTACGTCGAACTTTGAGGCAGATGGGCTACAGCAGCAGAAGACCACGCCGGGTGCCACTCCTTTCAGCTAAGAACAGGAAACTGAGGCTACAATTTGCACAAGCTCATCGAAATTGGACAATAGAAGATTGAAAAAACGTTGCCTGGTCTGATGAGTCTCGATTTCTGCTGCGACATTCGGATGGTAGGGTCAGAATTTGGCGTCAACAACATGAAAGCATGGATCCATCCTGCCTTGTATCAACGGTTCAGGCTGGTGGTAGTGGTGTCATGGTGTGGGGAATATTTTCTTGGCACTCTTTGGGCCCCTTGGTACCAATTGAGCATCGTTGCAACGCCACAGCCTACCTGAGTATTGTTGCTGACCATGTCCATCCCTTTATGACCACAATGTACCCAACTTCTGATGGCTACTTTCAGCAGGATAATGCGCCATGTCATAAAGCTGGAATCATCTCAGACTGGTTTCTTGAACATGACAATGAGTTCACTGTACTCAAATGGCCTCCACAGTCACCAGATCTCAATCCAATAGAGCATCTTTGGGATGTGGTGGAACGGGAGATTCGCATCATGGATGTGCAGCCGACAAATCTGCGGCAACTGTGTGATGCCATCATGTCAATATGGACCAAGCTCTCTGAGGAATGCTTCCAGCACCTTGTTGAATGTATGCCACGAAGAATTGAGGCAGTTCTGAAGGCAAAAGGGGGTCCAACCCGTTACTAGCATGGTGTACCTAATAAAGTGGCCGGTGAGTATTTATGTTAGCTTTGATTGGTCACTTTTATTACCTTTAGCCATGTTTGAGGTCCTCTCTTGTGACATGTTCCTGCTTTAACCATTTATTTTTTCTCTGTCTGTATTTACATTTTTATTTACATTTTTACTCAATCGTGTCTTTTAACATGTTTTCAAAAAGCTCTCTGTGCTCCTGTCCTGATAAAAGCTCCACCGTTATGATCAATAATGGTTCTAACATAAGCAGATGGTTTCTGATCTTTGAAAGTGACACAACATCTCAGATAGGACAACAAACAGCAGCTCTTTTCTGAGTTTATGGAGCTGCAATAAAGCTGATGGTTTAACAGATCGATTCCAGTCCTGACTCTTTTATTTATGAGTTAGAGTCGAGATATAAATGTAGAAAAAAAAAGCAGACAGATTAATCTATTTTAATCTATCAAAGTGAATCTGGAGATGATCCTCTTTAATTCCAGATAGCGTGCATATTAAAAGAAAAGGGTTCAAGTTCTCCTTGATCCCACTTGTGATAGGAGGTCTCAAATTTAATTGTTTCAGAACTTATCATTTATCTGCTCCCCGCACAGTCCTGCTCCTTATCTTATCCTTTTTTTAGTACAATTGCTTTTCTTACTTTTGTCACATAAACATTTTTTTATATTCTATGTTGTAAATAAAGTAAGAGCACCTTAATGCCTTAACTTCCTTATCAGGTTTGTATTTATTGCGCTGATCTTCAGTGTTTTTATGCTGACTCTACAACAACAGGACTGTCATCCAGAGTAAAAGTAATGATCCAAACTGAACTGACCTGCACCGATGCATGCTGGGTAGAATATTCTGGATATTCAGTCTTTAGTTTTAACACTTTATCACTTTCAAAGAGAAAGTTCACTGAGGCAGATTCAGACACCGGTGCACTGAGAGCCTTTATGACCCTGACTGAACAAAGAGATTCTCAAACTGAGACCGTCTCATAATTTCAGTAACATTTACTGTAATAACGACATCAGACCAAATAAGAAACCACCGAACTGAGGAAGTTGTGTCTTACCGGTGAAGCCGGAGAATTTGCGCGGCGCGTTGACAGACGGATCAGCAGGAGGAGCCATCAGCTTGCCGCTAGTGTTCATCTTGGCCTGCACCTTCTTCTTAGGAGAGGAGTTGACTTTGGCCATCAGGTCTACAAGACAAATAAGGATCCATTTCATATGACAGGACATGAGGATGAGCTCAACTTAAATACACAAGAGCAAAGACAAACCAACAAGTTAAAAGGAAGCTTTTACAACAAGTCATCTCTGCAACGCTTCAGTATAATGTTGATTTGAAAAGACTGTTAATATTAGTTTTTATGCTGCTCCAGTTAAAACCAAAAATTTCCTGTGAGTATGACGAGGAAATGCCGCCAGAGTGGAACCATCACTGTTAAATGATAAAAATGACAGCAGTAGTAGTTATGACTTATTCTTCCTGCTGTCCTTCTACATCAAGACTTATATTTGAAATCAACAGACTGCTGCTCTTTAAGATATGTGTGAAGTTAAAGCTGATTACATTTCAAATGTGTGATGGAGTATTGAACAAGATGTTACAGGGGAAGAAGTCTTTGACTGTGGAAAAACTTGAAGAGTTTTGACAGTGTACCTGAAACATGTTTATTTATGAGCTCCTTGTCTTCGTCCTGCAGCTCCTCCCAGCCCTCCAGTTCTGTGATGTCCTCAATCTTCTTGGTAGTGGCTCTTGCCCTTTCCAGCTTTTCAAATATGCACTTCACATGGTACCACTCTTTCATCTCTCCAGCAGACTCGCTGAAAGGGTTGGGCACAATCTTCCCTATGCGCACTATGCCCTTTGCGATTTTGTCCTTGCATTTTTTACATCCGGCAGTGCCTCGCTTGGCATATTCCACTATAAACCTCTGTTCTGACATGTCTGGCTCACTGGAGAAACGCTGATGTGGGGTAAGACGGGGGACAGTGTTCTGGAAAAATCTCTTCCTATGAGATACCACAGAGATACGGTGTCTGTCCTTGGAAAAATCAAACACATATAAAGTACAAAGTGGAGGTTTGACGTATGAGGAGGCTCTGCAAACTCTCCAGATGAGTGAGCAAAATGGTCGTTGGCCAATAGAGACAGCTTTGTGAGCAAATAAAATAAGCTGTCTCTGCATCCAGCCGCGTCAGTGGGCAGGTTACAACCTAAAATAAGCAGAACAAAACAAAACATGGGACATAATGAGTTCAAATTCAAATTTCAAATTAAACTTTATATTTATGGCACTTTTTGGACAGAAAATGTAGTTCAAAGTGCCTCACAGAGGAACCCCCCCCCCCCCCCCCCACACACACACACACAAGCGCACACAGAGTGAGAATTAAAGATATATTGTTAGAGAGACGTGGCCTGACTCCGAGACATTACACGAGGAGAGAGATACCTCTGAGAAACACTGAAGATAAAAGATAAAAATGGTGAAAAGAAAGAGTAAAACCTGATGGACTAAAAAAAAAAAAAAAAAAAAAAAAAAAGAACAGATAAGTAAGAGCTCTTCACCAGGTACATTTAAAAGACTAATTAAAGCCAGTATGTTAAGGAAATATGTTAGTTATATCTGATTGTCAAACCATTGTAATTTTGTTGTTGTTTGAGTATCATTAAATGAAATTGTAACTTGGGAAATAAATGGTATATGACTGTCTGTGGTGGCCAGCAGCTATATTTTATTTTATTATATATATTTTTTTGTTGTGTTTTGTTTATGCAGTTGTTGCTTTTTTATTTTATTTCATTTTATTATTTTAAGTTTGTTCTTTGTAAACTGATTTCTGGGGATAAAGGGGCAGATAAAGTAAGATTAGTCTTCTCTCTGCTCCCTGTCATTCAAGATAGGAGAACATTTGTATTTAAAAAAAAAGGTTTCTTTTTATTTTTAAATGAATGAAATAAAGAATAAATAAATGAAAAAATAAAAGGGGTAAAAGAAGTATAAACCTCTATGGTGGGAATTAAAAAAAGACTAAGAACTGATCATTAATAAAATAACAAAAAAAACATTAAGACCTTTGATTAAAATAGAAATTTGCAATAAGAGAAATATAAAAAGGTAATTAGTAAAAGCCTGGTTAAAAAGGAGAGTTTTGAGCCTCTTCTTAAAAACATCAACAGTTTCTGCGACTCTGAGGATCCCGAGAGATTAACACATCTAAAAACTAATAAGAGAAGAACCTGAAAATCCATCCTGAAACGGACGGGGAGCCAATGCAGCGATGCTAAAACTGGGGTTATATGCTCTGGCCCTCTGGCCCTTGTCAGAACTCTTGCAGCTGAATTCTGTAAAAGCTGAAGTGTCTGTAAGTTCTTCTTGAGGAGGCCAGAGAGCAGGGCGTTACAATAATCTAAACGAGAGGAGATAAAAGCATCATCACCTCCTGCTGGCCTGGGAGAGAAAAGGGCGGACTCTGGTTATATCCTTAAGGCGGTAAAAAAAAAAAACTTTATGTTTTTGATGTGTGGAATAAAACTGAGCTCAAAGTTAAAAATTACGCCCGGGTTTTTGATGCCCATCTCCTAGAGATTTGGTCACATGGTCAATTTCTTTGACCATTTCTAAGAAACAGAAGGGGTGGATCAACTTACCCCAGTCTCCCCTACATTTGTTCTAAAAAATGCTGCTTTAACAATAACTTCTACCTTCATCCTTAACCTGTCTTAATGCTCTAACCAACATTATCTGTGTGTAATGTCAGCACAGGAGTCAAAGTTAATGAACATAATTCCCAATAACAGCCTTTAAAACTGGACCAAAGTAAATCAGACCTTATTATATTCTTTATATTTTCCTAAAATCTTGAATAAGTTTGTTTTATTAGCTTTAAAATGCATTTAAATGTTTCTTTATCAGTGCATTAAAACACAAATGCACAAAGGTTACATTAACGTTTCTCTCGTTGGGCTCTCTGTGTGTAAATAATGATAAAACATGTTAAAATAAAAGTGTTTTATTTGCCTCATTAAAAAGTAATCAGTGATTACATAATCGCTGTGACTTTAATGCGTTTAAGACAGCCTCTCCTACTATAAACCATTAAAACATTAGATTAATTATGTGCTTGGATTAAACTTTGCTCAACGACGGTTGTTGTTGGTTAGCTTTAGCATTAGCATTAGCTTTAGCTTTAGCCTTTACTTTACTCCCTTGGTTCCACGTACACACCCGAGCAGTTGGCCGTGCTAGCTAACAAATTAAACACAAATTCTCAAAATGAGTTTAAGTTTCATTCATAAATCTGCACATATTTATCTACTGTACCTTATAGAAGCTCTTTAATATTTTACAGTTTGGTTCATTTTGCTGCTCCTCTCATTGTTGTTAGCCAAACCGGAGCTGCGTCAATCCGCAAGAGTAACGTCAGCATTCTGGATACACTTCCGGGGTTGCTTTACAAAATAATAGCTGTGACAACGAAACATTCGTAATTTTATTTTGATATTCTGACGATCAACGTTATACTCACTCAAAGCGAAACCTTAAGAAAGTATGATACTACTGCTGCTCCACCTTTTACATCGGATTAATGGAATAAGACATAACTACGGATAACTTTTATTTTACTTTGAAAGATCGAATTCTTTCTTCCGGTACACTTTTGCAACTCCTATTGAAAGAGAACTACAGCATGGTGAATGGTGTGATTTCTTTGCTGATTTTTACCAAAGAAGATCGATAGACCTTTAAATATTCAGCCGGGAACACTGCCATCTGCCGAACAGGAGGTGAAAACTTCTGATTAAAATCTCTGTTGATTTTATTGTTTTAATAAGAAAGAGCTCTCCGCACGAGGACGTAGTTATTTTTACTTTTTCATTCAAAATAATAAAAAAAAAATCGGAGAAAAAAACAGCTTTATAATTATGATACAGACCCACTTTAGTACATAAAAAAATGCATTAAAATAAATATACTTCTTAAAGAGGGGGTGTCTTTTTGCTTTATGTTATTGGACTAATTACTCCTTTTTTAATGATCTGTTAATTTTTTTGATTTATTAGTAATGACAATAATAAAAATAAAAATAACAACAATCATTTTAAACAAACACAAAAATCAAGTTTAGATACAAAATAAAGACGTTACTTTGTGCATGTATGTGAAATTTCATGCGCCAATTCTACGTACATTATGAGAGGGTGGAGCTGCGGCGCTCTCTAGGATCTATTGAAAGCGAACTGACGCGCGAACATGTTCGCTTCCGTTCGGTGAGTATTGCAAACAGCCGCTTTGAGAACGCTTGGATACCGAACGACCAAGCGAAGCGAATCCGGTGCTTCTCCTTAGAATCGTTTTTCCTCACTTTGTCATCATAATTAATTATTTTAGAAAAAAATGTGGCATAAGTTCGAATAAAACGCCCCCATGGAAATCCTTTTAGAGCGAAATTTTTCGATTATTATGCCTATAATTGACCGGAGAGAGGAGGCGGAATGGAGCGTCAGCTCCGCGTTCGCCCGCCGTCAGTCTCTGCCGTTACTACGCAGTGCGGTTACGCGGAGGAGATGTCGACGGGGAGGATCCAGATCCATTATTGACGTTTTTCTGATCTGTAGTCCAGAGATATTTCTCATCAGAGCTGCTGTCCACTACAAAGCAAAGAATGGGAAGTAGAATATTGGGTTATTTCTCCGCTGAAAGCCTGGCTGTCTCCACCGAACAACGACTTTTGTTTTTTATTTTCCGGTGGGACTAGCTTCATCAAGCTAGCGCTGTAGGCTAGCTTCGCATAGAAGCTAGCTTGCTAGCCGAACTGCTGCCTTATAGTGGCCCACAACAAACCTCCCAGCTAGCAGCCGTCGCATGCACAGTGAGGAAAAATGGTGAGTACAGCTTATGTGTCGGCTCGTTTATTAAATGATCAATATATAACTGATGATTTAGTTTGATTGGTCTAATTGTCACATCTCGGAAAGATCGTCGGAGGGCCACAGAGCTAGCTTACGGTGCTACAAGGTTGACAGCTTGTGTCACCTGGCTGCGGTTTCCTCTACGGTGACAATAACAGTGTAATAATAATGATCATAATAGTAATGCATAGAGGACAGATAAAGTCATATTACAGAGTGTTGAAAACAAAGCTCCGTAAGTAATAAACATCTCTGAATTAAGGTATGAAAGTATCACAGACAAATGAAAGTGAAGAGATCATCAAACCCACAAAAACACTCAGTCACCTAAAGTAGGACAGTCTGTGATATCAGGAGACATCAGGAAACACTTTCTGTTAAAAACATCTGAACAATAAATACATCTGAATAATCCAGTCACTAAAACAGCTGCAGAGGTGATTTTGTATTTGAGGTTAATGTCCTTCTGTGCAGAGACGGTTACAGCTTATTTAGTATAGATAATGTTCCTGCAGTTCACTGACACTGACATTTGTTAAACTGGGGGTGTAATAAGACTTTAATCATGTGTTGTATTTTCACATTGTCTTTTATATTGTTGGTATTATAGTGTTTATTATCCAGGTGTGCCTGTCATCTCACTCTGTTCTCTTTCATGATGTATTCTGTTTGTATTCCTGGTAGGGCTGGGTGATACTGGAAATAGTTTATCATGATATATTATTTTTATATCAGTGGATATCGATCAATATCAGGATATAAAAAATGAAATCTAACAGTGTTTATTGGTCGCATGTCTTTTCCAATACAATAATCTCCTGCATCTGTGAGGTCTTTGTGTCTCTTCGACATTTTTTCGTAAGGTGTCATTCTAGAGAAAGCGGACTGAAAGCTGTTGGCTTCACCTGTTAAAGTGTCTGTCTGGCGTTTTGCACGAGAGAAAGCGGACTGAATGGTCGGCTGTTTCAGGCGCCATGGGCTCCTTGCTCTGCTCAGGGTTTGTAACCTTAAGCGTTGTGCGTGCTCTGCGGCGTGGCGCTGCTTCAATGCTGTCGGCTTCACCTGTTAAAGTGCTATGGTTGGGTGGAGCTGCTGTCTGCTACGACGCAGTTGTTTGATACTTGGTTCTAGTTCAGCACATGATTGGTTCAGACCCCAAGCAACTCCCCTTTTCATTGGCTATTCGTATAGTCTACCAAAACATGATCTACTGATATTGATATAAAAGTATTTATGTCATCAAAAGCAAAGGGTGGCTATTTTAAAGAAACTAGTATACACAGTACATGTTTTCAGTTATTTCACACTTTTTTATAAGTACAAAAGTCCACATGTGTTCATTCATAGTTTTGATGCCTTCAGTGATAATTAACAATGTAAATAGTCATATAAAAATGAAGAACAGACACTGAATGAGAGGGTGTGTCCAAACTTTTGGCCTGTACTGTAAGCCTAATAGCTTCAACCTACTCCTTTTCCATCTCCAAACAAATAGGGAATTTCATGTCTAAAATTGTACTGTTTGTATATTTGATCAAATAAACAATCTGAAATCAAACAGTCATGTAGCAAAGGGAACCTTAATACTAAGACATGTCCCAGCCCCAGGTATTGATGAGGGTTTGACAAACATTGTATTTTATATTGTTTTAGTGTTTGGGTGTGCCTGCCATCTGGCTCTGCTCTCTTTCACGTTAGTTGTTGACATATGGCACATTCTGTTTTGTCATCCAGGATAACATAGAAAGATGAATATTGTTTGTTTGTGGTTTTCCTTGGTACATGCTTCTCTGTTTGCATGTGGATTTTTACAATCTATTAACAACACTTCGGAGTCAATTAAATGAGTACAGCACCAGAGTGAAAGTCAAAGTTCACTCTAAGGGAGCATGGTTGTCCTGTAACAATGCCAAAGAGTTGAACTTTGATACAAGAACATATCAGACAATATTGATATCTGACCCAATATAACAACGGCAAAAACTGACCTGGAAAACCACAACGGTTAAGTTTGTTGATGATTTATTTCCAACCCGCATACAGTACTGGTAGGGCTGGGCGATATGGGAAAAAGGTCTTTTTTCATATCAGTTGATATATATCACAATATAAAAAATGAAATGTAACAGTGTTTATTGGTCGCATGTCTTTTCCAACACAATAATCTCCTGCATCTGTGAGGTCTTTGTGTCTCTTTGACGTTTTGTCGTAAGGCGTTGCTCTAGAGAAAGCCGACTGAATGCTGTCGGCTTCACCTGTTAAAGTGCTATGGTTGGGTGTAGCTGCTGTCTGCCACGACGCAGTTGTTTGATACTTGGTTCTAATTCAGCACATGATTGGTTCAGCATGAAACAGACCCCGAGCAACTTCCCTTTTCATTGGCTATTTGTATAGTCTACTGAAACATGGCAGAATGACGACTATTGAAAAGTATATTGACCATGTTTTATATTTATAGAGAGTGAAATTAATTTTTGATATATATCGTTATTGTTTTATTGCCCAGCCCTAAGTACTGGTAAAGAAAAAGTCACTGAACACAGACCAACATGTGATGTACTATCAATAATGATAGTAATAATATTAATAATGCATCAGATTTTATAAAGCACTTTATCAGAGACCCTCAAAGATCTTTACATCGTTCATTCGCTCACACAGTCACTCTCTGGTGGTGGTAAATTACCTTCGTAGTCACAGCTGCCCTGGGGCAGACTGACGGAAATGTGGCTGCCAATCTGCTCCACCGGCTTCTCTGACCACCACCAACCACCACTCACAATCACACACACGTGGAGGACACACACTGGGAGCAAGGTGATGATAAGAATGAACAGCAAATAAAGATTTATCCTGAGAACCGTACATGACCAAAGTATGTTATTAACTCTGCATTATCATTTATTTTAGTTATTTTCTTCTCACTTATTTAGTCCTTTTATGTGCATCAGTCTTTGTGCAGAGTAGTGAAACCTCTGTCCACAGTCCACAGGTCAGGACTAACAGAGAACATAAAGGGACCAGGGGACACCTCTCTCCTCTGCTCTCAGTCTAACAGTAGTGTAACATGTTTTATCATCCCCTGTAATGACTGAGCAAACAGCTGACCTGTGTGAGAGCAGAGTCAGTGATGGTTACTGTGATGGAGGGCGGGGCAGAGATACACAAGAAGCAGGAGAAGGAGTGTTACTTCAGCTGCAAACAAAGCAAACTATAAACCTCACAAGTTTGTTTAGCAATACTAATTTGTTTTATTAGTTCTTTAAAGCATTAACAATATAAAATATATCATCAGTAATGAGTAATAAATAACTTTTAATTGGTCATTTTGTCACTTTGTCTCTTGTATCAGCACTATATCTCCATGTCGACCAACCAACATCGCAGCTTCTGGTTAAAAATACAAGTCTTTCTTTTTTAAAGCTTTTGGTGTTTTTAGACACGATTAAATGTGAGACTAACTCATATAATTTTAAAGCATGTGGTGTTAAATGTTGAAGATATTTGTATGCCTGCCAGGAACATTTATTCTTCAACAGAAACAATAAAACAGACTCTCTATCCCATGTGTCGCAGCTTTTACTGCCTGTTCTTTGGAAGCGTTCCACATGTAGTTGTGAAGGGAAACCCTGCAGGATATATCTGATCGAATCAATATTCAGAGACTACCTGCTCAACAGGTCGATGTCAGCTTCAATGTAGAGAGGACTTTATATGTTTCAGGTATACCTGCCTTAAACAGATGGACATATAAATGTCTTCAGTTTTGTTTGCTCTGCTCTTCTGAACATTTGAGAGGCGGGGTTTATTCCTCGCTGATTGACCTGGTATTTACTCCTCGTGTTGTCAGGAACGGTTTGTGCTTCAGCGTGAACATGAAGAGCTGGACTCTCATCGTTTTATTAATACATCTGTTTCTCCTCAGGATGTCTCATGCTGTATTTTCATTAATTAAAGCAGCTTTTATCATTATGGAGTATTTTTATATTTTGTCTTTGTCTTTGACCTTTCTGTTTTCAAATCCACACTCTTTAAGATAATCTATTTTTTCCAGTATCGTCGCTCACGTTTTGCATTTTTTGTTCCCTATTTAATAATGCATTGTTTTTTTATTATTTCAATTTCACTGAACAGAGAGTCAGGTAACCAGGGCAACGATGAACTCCTCATTTTTCTGGTTAGATTCGTAGGTCTGGCAGATTTTCAGGTATTGTGGTTCAATCCTCATTGTCTTATGAGAAACATTGTGTGTGTGTGTGTGTGTGTGTGTGTTTGCAGGTGTACCTGTTAAACCCTATAGAGAACCTGAGGAGCTACATCAACAACCGTCCACCGCTGGTCATCTTTATGATCAGCGTCAGCGCAGTGGCCATCGCCTTCCTGACTATCGGTTATTTCTTCAAGATTAAAGAGATCAAGTCTCCAGAGCTGACAGAGGTGAGTCACACCCACACAGACAGGACAGGAATATCGTCTGCTCCTGTAAGTGTCCTGAGATTCCTGTAAAGTGGGGTCATTACTGATCCCAAATGTCAGCGCATGACCTCATCCATGAGCCCGGTCCCTTGAACCATGTGGATTTTGTTTTGACCTTCTCACCCCTAATTTCCAACGCATCCTGATCGTCTACTAAAAGGTCATATCCACCGATCATAGCTGATCATAATCATGCAACACCTCACAAACAGATCTGGTAGGAATTGGCAGATGACGAAAATCGCCACCGTTCCGGGTTGCAGCCGTTACGGATGCGGCGAAAATTGGGGGTCAGCCTCTGCAGGTTTCACCCTGAAAAGTTGCAGATCAAAAGTTACAGATGCTGCAAACATGGAAATAAACCAATAATAAAAAAAATAATACCACTAAAGGAGTAAATGTGAACTGGATGGATTGTCTCTCTTTGTCTCCTCAGGACTGGAACACCTTCTTGCTGCGCTACAATGAACTGGACTTTTGCGTGTCCGAGAACGAAACGATAAAGCACGGTCTGAACGAGTCGACCACGCCGGAGAGCATGGTCGTAACCAGCGGTCAGGCTCGTTCCAGCACGCAGGTTCCCCTGCTGCTGGAGGACTCGGGTCCCATCAACATCTCAGTACCCATCACCCTAACGCTGGACCCTCAGCGTCCATTCGGAGGGTACTCCCGCAATATCACCCACCTGTACGCCACAGTGCTGGGGCAGCAAGTTGGCCTCTCTGGTAGGTTCCCTTTCACAGTTTCTCATGTGTTCACAGGAAATATCAGGCTAAGAGACAGTTTCTTTCACAGAGCCGTCACTCTTTTGAACTCTCACCCTGTTAAAGCACGCTAATGGCACTTAGTTAAATGTAATATAATGTAATTAATGTAAATACTGACAACAGCAACTTCATACCGTCTCTTATTTATCTGTATATCTTTATATATATATATATATATATATATATATATATATATATATATATACATATATATTTATCTGTGTTGTAAATACTATCTGATACTTGCGCTATTGCACTCCTGGTTAGATGCTAAACTGCATTTCGTTGCATTGTTCTGAACAAGTTTCATGACAACAAAGTTTAATCTAATCTAATCTAACCTAATAAAACTGAGCTGGTAGTTTAAACTAAACACAACCAGAGTTCAGAAAAACGTTTGAAATCGCAAACGAAATCTGGGTAGAAGCAGAATTTGATGGTTTACTAACCTTTTAGACTATTAAAAAACCTTTAGTTGAAAATGCTGCGATGATGAAACTGTTTAGTTTCATGAAAAATACGCATTTTAGCGGGTTTGTCCTCCTCCTCTTAATACAACACTGAACATTTGGGACCATGAAGATCCAGGATTTCAGCAGCTCAACAGTTTTTGTGGAGTGTTTTCAGAGCTGAGTAGACATAAATATATAGTAAACTTGGACACTGCAGGTCATAGTTGACTCCTCTGTGGATATAAGCGCTTTAATGTCAGTGTTATTGCTGAAAGGAAAAATTGAATGCTGATTCCAGCGCGTTACTCTAGTCCCAAACAAATCATGGACCTTGTCTTTGTTTTCAGGTGAGATTAGTTTCTGCACTTAAGGTCAAATAATTTCACTTTATCCTCACTGATATGAATCCCTCCCAGACCGGCTGTGTCTGCGGTTTTAACCCTCTACCTCTGAGGATCGTCCTGTTAAACCTGCTGTGTTCAGACTGACTCTTCTGTGCTCTGTTTATTCTCCTTCTCTGCACAGTGATGTACTGCGGTTCATTTGACCAAATGTTTGATGCTTTGCACTCTCAGGTTTAGCAGGAAATGGTGTTCTTGTTTGTGTCTGACTTTATAGCACATAGTAACTTATTACAGGTTCAGCTGTCTGGCAACAACTCACCGCGAGGGCCTGAAATTTGAAACCACCGGAGCAGATTAGCCGAGTCAAAATGGAGATATGCAAATGTTTTATAGCTCTGAGTAAATAGTCTGGTTTGCAGAGCGCTTATGTTTAAAGGTGGAGAGAGGTCACGGAGGAAATGTCAGCTTGCTCTTTTGTCGGAGCTTTACTGAAGAATAAAACATGTGTTCATAAAAGATTTTCTCTTAATAGACCATTAACACGACAAAGTACAGGTTTAGTAATCCTTCCTGTATGAACTGCATTTAAATGGATTAGTTTTCTTCACTAATGCTGAACTGACAGGGATTTTAAAAGAGATCCTAATGTCAACAGTCAGATTGGAGCCGATCCTCTCACACTGATCATTTATATCAGCTAAAGAGAAACATGTGAAAGAGTGGATTAACTGTACAGTCAGGAGGATATGTGATAGGAGAATAATCACTGAGATATTAATGTTGAAATATTTACCAAACACAAGACAGGCTTACACATTAGCTTTGTTATTGATTTGAAGATAATGAGAGATTTCAGCGTAAAAGACCTTCAGCAGAGGCAGAGAGACCATCATCCACCTGTTTGTAAACTTCATGTGCTCATTAAAGGGATATTCCGGCGTAAAATTAATTTAGGGTCAAACACACCGTAACACTGAGTGAGACCCCCCCCTCCAGAGATGAACGTTGCCGACCGCTTGCTTCTCTAGTTATGCACACTAAAGACAACTCACCTACTCTCTTCCAGCAGACGCTTGTTTGTAGTGCGACCTCAGGCCAGTCCATTACAGACTACAGCGGGGTGACACAGCTCAAGGAAGAACATTTATGATCATTTCTTTATCGTTTCCTTGAAGTAATAATCACCATATTGATCATTTTACAGACGCTGTAGTTCTTCTGTCTTAGCGTCTCGGTCTGATTGTATTTCCATGAAGAAATGATCATAAATGTTCTTCCTTGAGCTGCGTCACCCCGCTGTAGTCTGTAATGGACTGGCCTGAGGTCTCACTACAAACAAGCGTCTGCTGGAAGAGAGTAGGTGAGTTGTGTTTAGTCTCTTTGCTAAAGAAATGAGTCAAAGTTAAAAAGATGTTTGGTGTCTAGTACTATGTCTGTGACCCTATATGTCCTGTTGATGAAGTTAGGTGCTGTTCTGAGCATTATTTGTGGCTATAGAGTGGCGTTTTGGTTGGGGGCGTGGCTCTCTGTATTGCTATCCTGCGGTCGTTACTAAAGTTGGTATAACTAGAGAAGTAAGCGGTCGACAACATTCATCTCTGGAGGGGGGGTCTAACTCGGTCCCTTTAATGAGCACATTTACGTTTCCGTCTGATTAGCTTTCGGATATATGGAGCATAGATCAGATTGAAAGAGAATCACCTAGATCAGCTCCGCACTGACCAATGGGAGTTTAATTCGGTTAAGATGGCTCGTTGTTGTCCCAGCCCGTCCCCCTCGGATATGTAGTTCTGTTGATACAGCTTTATCTATCTCTAATCACACCCAGGAGTCCACTCTGTCTGACAGATAATCTCCTAATCCCCTCACAGTTTGATTGTGTTGCATAAGCATGAAGAATCAGCCTGTCATTTGATATCAGGGGAGTAGCTTGGTATGAAATCAAGCATCTCTGCTGTGGGAGCTGAAGTTAGGCCTGTTCAGACCGTCCTAAACTCAAAGACAGACAAAAACGCGTCTCTTTGGTTGTTTTAGCCTGTGAATGGGTCAAATTAAAAACACTTATTCTAATGTCAGTAAAAGAGTAAAGCTGCATGAAAAACATCGATCAGAGGAGAAAGCTCACAGTCCAGTTTCTCCTCTCAGACCCGGTCTCTCTCTCTCTCTCTTATTGTTCTGTTCACTGTGTTTGTGTTTAGGCCGGGAAGCCCATGAAGAAATAAACATCACGTTCACCCTGCCTGTATCCTGGAACTCAGACGACTGTGTGCTGCACGGACACTGCGAGCAGGTGGTGTTCAGCACTTGCATGACCATCACTGCGGCCAGCAATATCTTCCCAGTCACAGTGTGAGTTGGAGCGGATCCCTGACTCACAGGGACACACTTTGAGTCTCTGCCTGCAGCTTTGTTACCGAGGAAAACTAAAGAAACTTCTGGGATCAATCTCTGTGAATCACCTCAACAAATACTCAGTCCCTCCATTCAGGGTTCAATTATAGCAGCTAAGCAACGATGCGGCCTCTGAGAAAGGAGCCGGTCGACTGTATTGATCTTCATATTGGCTGGAATCAAACAAACATTTTAGATAAATCCACAAGGCTCGACAGTGCGACTAAAAATATATGTCAGCTGAAATCAGCCAAGGCAACAAATGTTTTCCCTGTAAATACGGCGGTGAAGTTAGTTTCAGGTTGGATATATTCTCCTGTAAATACGGCGGTGAAGTTAGTTTCAGGTTGGATATATTCTCCTGTAAATACGGCGGTGAAGTTAGTTTTAGGTTGGATATATTTTCCTGTAAATACGGCGGTGAAGTTAGTTTCAGGTTGGATATATTCTCCTGTAAATACGGCGGTGAAGTTAGTTTTAGGTTGGATATATTCTCCTGTAAATACGGCGGTGAAGTTAGTTTCAGGTTGGATATATTCTCCTGTAAATACGGCGGTGAAGTTAGTTTCAGGTTGGATATATTTTCCTGTAAATACGGCGGTGAAGTTAGTTTTAGGTTGGATATATTTTCCTGTAAATACGGCGGTGAAGTTAGTTTCAGGTTGGATATATTCTCCTGTAAATACAGCGGTGAAGTTAGTTTCAGGTTGGATATATTCTCCTGTAAATACAGCGGTGAAGTTAGTTTCAGGTTGGATATATTTTACTGTAAATACGGCGGTGAAGTTAGTTTCAGGTTGGATATATTTTCCTGTAAATACGGCGGTGAAGTCAGTTTCAGGTTGGATATCTGACGGACATTCTCTGAGGATCTACCGGTGTCTTCTCTCTCTCCCTAACCGGGAATAACAACAGCAGCGCGGTTAAATCTACTCGACACCCTCACTGTCAACGTCGGTGTTGAATAAGGGACCGTCAATAAATTACCGGTTGATGTTCTCAGAAAAGGCTGTTTTCCTTCCATGTCATGTGACCAATTGACCTAAAATTGATAGTACTTATGTGGACCAATAAGACAAACATTATGTGATCAGTTTTCATTGTTCCCCTAAAGTTCTTTGTTTGCTCCTTGTGAAAAAACGTTTGTGTCAAGCCCTGATCCAACAGGAAAAACCTAAGACTCTCCACATGGAGGAGTGTTGTAGTCGAGGTTCAGCACTTGGAGCAACAATCTGCAGGTTTATTTCCTTATTTTTTAGCACATAAAGTAATAAACATCCTTTATGAGACTTCCTTTATGACTCAGACTTGTTTGGTCCCTGGAGTCCAATAGCAGCGCTGCGTTGACTTTTACACAGTTGAAGTTGGCAGCGATGATCAGGGCTGACAGATGTCTGCAGCAGATGTCATCAGCTGTGTTAAAATGGGAGTTTCTTCCTGAGTATGCAGTCCTGTACAGTGTGAAACTCTGCTCCTCTTCTGCTGTGATATCTGACATGCTCTTCTCGCTGCCGTCTCTGACAGACTCAGTCAGATACAGTTTTCTGTCAGACACCGCCGCGGCTCTGCTCTCCTAGCTGTCGAGCTTTGTTAGCAGTAAACCAGGTGAAGTCTTCTCCATCTGCTGCCATCTTGGTCGCAGTCTTTGAAGTCCCTCAGTTAGACTATAACTTTTCTGACTGTGAGTCTAGAGCAACTTCTACTTCTACTTCTGGCTCGAGTTCAGCAGCACAGCCAAAGTGGAGGGCCATCCTCTGGGTGTCTGATAACTAAGTCTGGTTCTTTAGTTTTCCCCCAGATTCATCCACGTCTCATTTTTGTCCCGCTGTCCTCGGATCAGATAAAAGAAAATTACAAATAAATTCAAGAATAACATCTTTGACCATTTTTATGCTCTCTGCATAACCAACATCACACAAACAGTCTAAAGACCCGAGTTAACAGACCTCCATCTTTGTTTTGGTTTACAGGCAGCCACCCCACTGTGTCCCAGAGACGTACACCAACGCCACGTCCTGGTACAAGGTCTTCACCACAGTCCGGGACTCGGATACCAAGTATAGTCAGGACTACAACCCCTTCTGGTGTTACAAGGGAGCCATCGGCAAGGTGTACCACGCGCTCAACCCAAAGCTAACGGTCATCGTTCCTGACGTGAGTCACCTGCTCTTTCTATACCTCTGTTTTCATGATTTCAGTTAAAGAGACTGAGATTTTAAAAAAGTGTTTGGTTGTAGTTTTGGCGCTGTCGGCAGGTGCTGCTAAATCCTGAGCAGACAGGAGGATGAAGTTCTTTAAAACCTCCTTTAGATAGATTTTGAGTGCCTCACCCCCAATTTCCACCTTCATCCTGATCGTCTCCTAAAAGGTCGTATCCTCCGATCGTAGCTGATCGTAACCATTCAAGTTAACGTGTCAATTTACACCGACTTCTTTCCGTTCCTCTGCGGATCGCCGGACTCCTCAGCTGATCTCAAGAGTTCTATTTTTTCTGGACGCCGGAGCATGGCGGATAAATTCAGCACAGATTAACCCGTGCTGGAAAGGAAGTCGGGCACAGACACAAAATAAAACATCCGGCTTCTTTTCAAAATAAAACACTCCGTGTTTCAGGAGGATCGTATTTCACACCATGCAAACGGGCGGAGACGAACAAGTGAAAGGTTTTTAGACGTCATTTCACCCCGATGACACCATGGATGAGGAGATGCTGATTCTAGAAGTCTAGAAGTAGATTTCCTCCTCTGGAAGGACACAATCTACTGCTTATATGTCTATGTGTCTGTCTTTAGAGAGACAACTCGTTATCGCGCGATTGAACGTGAATCCGCGGGTTCTTGTGAGTTCTTGTGATTCCTGCTGTCTGTAATCCGCCACGAAATTCGCCTCACAAACGGATCTGGTAGGAATTGGCGGACGGCAAAAATCACCGCCGTTCTGGATTATTGTTCCGGATGTAGTGAAAATTGGGGGTCAGTTCCTGATATTGCTCAGATATGCAGAAGACAGAGTTTCTACCTCCTCTTTGTATATTTATTACCTTTCAGTTCCTTTAAACTGAAGTTTAGCTGTGACATTTGTGTAAATCTGTCAAACGTCAAAGTCCTCTACAGTTGGGATAGAAACAGAACAGTAATGTTTGGATCCATCTCTGGTGTAAGTCATCATCTTGAGCTCCATCCCTGATCCCTCTGTGTGTGTTTGAGCGCGCTCAGATCAGGTAACAGTGCAGCCACAGCATATATTTTCTCCTATTGTTTCAGGCTCACTGGACCATTCAGAGGCCAGCTCGGCCCTTTGAATGGATTCATTGTCAGCCTGGAACGATCTCCAACAATCAGTAAACAGCTAACTGGGCTTCTTTGTGCTGTTGGCTCACATTTACCTCATCTTAACAGCAGACCGACAGGAGGGATTATAGACCCTGGAAATATCAACACACACACACACACACACACACACACAGTATCCTGATACACAATCATTCTGTTAAATTTGATGTTTTTCTTTGTTTTCTGTAATTTGACTTTAAAAATATTAGACTCAAAAAAACTGAATTCATAGAATAAATACTGATGTGTTTACAGCTCTGTGCTTCCTTTCCACCCTCCTTTCCTTCCTTCCCTCATAGCTTCTTTCTCTCTTTCTTTATTTCCTTCTCTCCTCTGTTCCTTCCTCCCTCCTTCCCTCATTACTTCTTTCTTTCTTTCCTTCCTCCCTCCTTCCCTTCTTCCGTCATTCTTTCTTTCTCTTTCATTTCTTCCTTCCTCCCTCCTTCCCTTCCTTCGCTCATCACTTCTTTCTTTCTTTCTTTCTTTTCTTCCTTCATCTCTCCCATCCTTCCTTCCCTTATCTCTTTTTTTCTTTCCTTCCTTCCTTCCTTCATTTTTCCTTCCCTTCCTTATTACGCCTTTCTTTCCTTCCTTCCTCCCTCCTCCCCTCCTCCCCTCTTTACTTCTTTTTTTCTTTTTCTTTCTTTCCTTTCTTTCTTCCATCCTTACTTCCTTCCTCCCTCTTTCCTTCCTTCCTCCCTTCCTTCCTTCTCCTTCCTTTTGTCCCTCATTACTTCTTTTTTCTTTCTTCCTTCCTTGATTCTGTTCCTTTCTCACTTTTTATAAATTCCTTTTTCCTCTTCTTCTTTACCTTCCTTTGTTGCCCCCCCTTATTCATCCTTTCCTGTCCTCCTCCCTCCTTCTCCTTTTCCCTTACATGATGAATGCCTTTATATAAACACTCACAGAGTTGTTGTCGTCTCTCTTTCCTGTTTCCTTTTCTTTTTTCTTTCTTTCTCTGTTTGTTTGAAAATAAAGTTTTAATCTCGTTCTCTCATATTTCGCCCGTCGTGGTTAACTCCTCCTGATCGTCTTAAATCTGTCACTCGGTCTGTGATGTTCAGATTTCTCTAATCAGAGCTCTTTCTGCTCCAGGATGACCGTTCCCTCATCAACCTGCACCTGATGCACACGAGCTACTTCCTGTTTGTCATGGTCATCACTATGTTCTGCTACGCAGTCATAAAGGGACGGCCTGGCAAAGTCCGACAAACCAACCCCGACTTCTGTGCTGAGAAGGTACAACAGACACCAGCAGTGCTTTATGACGTGAACAGGTAGATTCAGACCAGCATGAACTGACCGCTGATTGGTCCAAGACTCGATACAAATCAACCTTCTGCTTCTCTGCTCTCTCTCTGTCATAAGTCTGAACATCTACAAAATCTAAATCAGTCTCCCTGGTAGAAAAGGGACCGGCAGGGTGAATGCAGGAGGTGTTGGAGGTGGAGGAGGTGGGATGGCAGGACACAGAGGAGCCTGACTCTGAACACTCTGACGTATTTCTGCTGCAGAAATAAAGAAACCTGTAATGAGGCTCTGATAGTTCTGCTCAGATGTTCTCTGATAGTAACGCCTGAGATCTTAAAGGCTCATTGTCTTTCTGCTGCTGACGGCCTCGCCTCCTCCTCCTCCTCCTCCTCCTCATCAGCGTGTACCTGTGGCTGCATTTCGCCCACAGAGGTAATCGATGATCCTTCAGGTCTGGCGGCGTGCGCTGCAGCACAATAAAGCAGACAGCATTACCCTCATGTATCAGCTTTCATCAGTCAGTTCACATCAGTGCAGAGATTACCAATTTTAAGGTCGGTGAGCGAGCTCTGAGTCACCGCCGCCGCCGCCGTCAGGCCGCACAGAGGGGAGAGCGCGTCAACACGGCTAATTATAGGTTTTCATACAGGAGGGAAAACTTCTCCAGGGTTTCACTCCATTCTCTGTTTTTGTTCTAAACCTGTCTGCAGGTTTGATTGTTAATTAAATAGTACAATAGTTGGGTCCAGTTCTACATTTAAGTCCGGTACTGAGTCATGAGTGGGAAACTGAAATACAAAGAAGCAGCAAGAAGTTTTACGTCTGTTTTTTCAACCCCGATCCCAGAGAAGTTTAGATGCCATGACGTATTTTTGATGGTGTGTAAATCGTGAAAATTCTGCATTTTATTGAATAATAGAGCAAAAGCCACATGATATAATGAAACTAAAAATTTATGTTAAATCAAAAACATTTTTATGTTTTGAATTTGATGGCAGCGACGTGATCGGAATATTTTGGACAGGAACTAAAGGCAGAGGAAGATGAATGACGCTCAGATACGGAGGAGCATCTGAGGTGATTTTGTTGGAGCCTCAGAAGTGATGGTACACTTCTCTGTGAGAGACTGTGTGAGCGAGTATCTCTACACTGTCAGACTAATATAATAAATATGACGATGTCGTCATCTGCCGTACATGATATCATAAAAAATATACGTATCGAAGAGTCAGAGCAGAAAACCGATCCAAGAGCAGCTCCTCTGATCCCGACATTTTGGGACGTTTCACCTTAAGCTGATTATAAAAAATGATTCCCTCTCAGCGGCGCCTCCTTCACTTCTTAATGAAGAGATATAAACTCTTAATGAGCGACATGATGGGAGCCTCTCCAGACAGTCTTTTTTAAAGTGATATTTATCCGTTTAAAGACTTCTCCTCTAATTTAAAGCTCTGGTGGAGTCGATCAAACTTTGGTGATCCTTCTATCCTGGTTTATTCCAGTTTCACTTTCCTCCTTTTTCAAACTTGTCTCTGTTGTTCCTCTGAAGGGTTAAATCGTGTGTTAAACTCCTGTCCTCTGTTGCAGGTGGCGTTGTCAGAGGGTTAAAAAGACATCAGAGCGATGTGTGAGAACTTACCTGTAACACGGACAAACTCCAAGAACTCACAGAAGAAGACCTAGAAAATAAACATACCAGTTGCCTAGTGAACCTTGGAAACACGATAAGGGACACAAAAGCTCTGTGAATGCATTACTCTTGCAATGTTGGGATTCTCCAACCAAAGATATACAAGTGCCTGTATCTGTCGTGTAAATATTTGTAGGAACTCTGATACTCTGTGCAAACTCTCTTTTGTTTTTTTTTTTCTCTCTGTTCTGTTGGATGATTCTTGTTCGGTTGTTTTTGCCTGAGTCCCCTGAGTGTGCCATGTCAGAACATGCAGTAAGTTCATGAAACAAAACGCCGAAAGATCGGCAGCCATTTCTCAGCCTCATGACGTCTCACTCATCAAACGAGACGATGAAAACAAAAACCTAAAAAAAGAGTCTGAGTGGATTTATCTCAGAGTAGTTAATGTTTGGTGTTGAATGAGTTTAGATCTGAATACTAAAGTTTGGGAGACGCTCTTAATTCATCAGTATGCACTTGTCATTGCAGCTTCTGGGGGGAAAACATTGAATTTAGCACTTTCCTATATCCCCCACTGTGAAATCAAGAGTCTGAGCAGGACACAAACACTTCAACATTAGAATAAAAAAGAGTCTCAAATCAGCAATCACTTTGATGATTGCACCGTCGTCTCCTCGGACAAACAGAGTCTCAGCCTTTATCCTGTCAGACTCTTCGGTAAGTCGTGGAAGAAGCTGTTGGGCTGAAATACTTCCTGTTTTGGTTTTTATTTTCTTTTTGACTCTCTGCCTTTTTTCGTTTTCTTTCCTCCCTCCTCGCTCATTTCTTCGCTCGTCTGCCTCGTTGTTCTCGCCTTTGATTTGCTGCACGTGTCTGCGGCAGCTTTGTGCTTTTTGTACTTTTGCAGTTTTATGTTTTTTTTTTTTGGTTTGCACCCGGATGAAGTGGAACATCTTGCCTTACTTACGGCTGACTCGTTTGCTAAAAAAAAAAACAAACAGGGAGATCCTTTCCTGTCCTTCAAACAGCTCCTTCTTCCACAGCCATCCCTCCTTCTCTCTCTCTCTCTCTTTCTTTTCTTCCACTTTTATGAGCCTGTGGTTTGAAGTCAAAATGGTGACCTTTGACCTGTTAACGTAAATGTTCTATTTTTGATGCGTATGAATATCTTTTGCTTTTGTTTCGAGGAAATCATCGTTTGTTCTTGTGTTTGCATAGTTAGCGCACCTTTTCGATTTCTTGCACATTTTGTCCTGTGATGATGATGATGATGATGGTTTGATTTTGTCCACGGTCACATGTAAAAAGGTCTGACTTTAACTCTATAAACCTTCTTCAAGTTGGACTCTCTCTGATTTAAATATGGTTATATCTATAAGTATATAATTATATTTATATAGCTATGATATTATGTTCAAATCATTGTATTTTCTTATGATTTTGTGGTACAACAAAATGTGCAAAAGGTCACATGGAGTGAGAAAAAGTGTGGCTGAGTTTGGGACGTGTTCAGAGAGGGGCAGCTTTAGACCAGGATGAGGATGATCACGAAATCCACGTTGACCCGCGTGAGACCGCCCCGCAGACGCCGATGTTACTTCAACACGACTGTGATAAAACCGCGAACAGTAGAAAACATGGACGCCGTCTCAGTGGCGTCACTAAACGGTTTCCAAGAGAGCGTGGTCGCCATATTGGATTGCCAACTCGGACTAGTTTTCAGTCGGTGTAACATGAGGTAAAGAGGCGGGGTCAAGGCGGGCATTAACCAGCTTGAAGGTGCATTACTGCCACCTACTGGCTCAAGTGTGGAACAAGATAGGAAAAAAAAAAAGGGAGTACACGCTGAGATTCATCAGACCCAAGAATATTCTGAGTGCTTCAGATTTTTCTCTTAAATTTATTAAAAAAATCTATAATCCATCAATATTTTTCAGACTTTACGAGACAGTAATCCCAGAATTACAAGGTATTACAAAGGCCCCTTCTAGTTCAAAAATAATTTTATCAATAATCCTGAAAAAGATTTTTTTATTATTGACAAAATCATAATAATCCATAAAACAAAACTACAAAAACAGCGATTTCTTAAAAAACAGACTGAGTGTGTATGTGGCCTCTGAAGCTAATGAGGACAGCCTCTAGTGGATGCTCTGGGTACTGCAGTTTTTAATCACGTCTGTATTTGCTTCAGGACTTTCTGGATAAAACTGAAGCTTTGAGCCTAAAAATTAACTTTACTGAAACTCTGGAAATATAAATCTGACATTTAGAGAAAACATGATTTAATTATCGTAGAAACCCGACCTTTGTTAGCGATGATTTCGTGTCAAACCCCGGTTTAAAGCTGCCTCTCCTGTCTGTTATGTATGACTTCTCTCCAATAGCAATTACTGAAACATTGAACTTACCTCTGTGTTTGAATTTTGTTCCATATTTGATGTACCTGTTGAATGTACTTTTTTTATGAGCAGCATAATCGAAATCTGAGATGCAAGAATTCCAAGTGATTTTCGAGGATGATGATGAGGATGATGTAGGTTTTATTTTTATTTTTCTCCAGTTTAAAGGCTTTACTTGAATCGTGTTTTTGGTCTGAGTGGTATTCATATATAATAATTATAATAATAATGATAATAAGGTTTATCCTCTGAATCGGTCAGATTATTGTACATGATATTATTGTTTGGTTTTGGTGTGTGTGTTGCTGAGTGTGAGTGGAAGCCGTCGGGTTGTACATTTTCTTTTCCTCTCCTGTACTGAATGACGCTAGGACAAGTCTTCCTACTTCTTCTCTGTATCAGCATGTCGCTCTTACTGTCCTCGCCGTTCCTCCTCGTGCTTTTACACTCAAACTTCATGCTTTTATTTTCTTATCAGAAGATCTGGCAGCTCTTACGGGACGGTTGGATGTGATTGGCGTGGGTGGGTGGGTGGGTTTGGCCGAGTGAAGATGTGAATGAAGGACGCCATAATATGATTGCTAAACCATCCTAATTTATCCGCCGCATTAACCTGCTTCTGATCCCTCCTTTTCGATCACGATTGCTTTCAGTCAGAGTAAGAACTGCATCTGTATAATTGCAAAATGCCTTAACATCGTCTAGTTTCGTTTTGTATCACTCTTTCACATATCACACATTGTAAAACAGCAGATTAAAAAGACACCAATCCAAACACGAAGCTCATTTTATCACTTCAGAGAAGCTCCGATTTCATGCTGCTTGTTAAGTGAACATTTAGAGAAATGGGTTTTTAAGGAGCAGATGCTTGCAGTAGTAGTTTTTGAAGGACTCCACTATATCACGACAGACTGGAGTCTAAACAGAGGAGCCATATCTCCTTCGTTGGTTCATCTCACAGTGTGGTCAGCAGAAAAACACACCAGTCTGCCGCTTCACCTCATCGTCCTTTCTGTCATGTTAGTAGCGCTTACAGGCAAGTATTAAGCCGACTTTGTGCCTTCTGCACTCTCCAGCTGTATCTTCCTCCTCCTCCTCTTCCTCCCTGTACATACATAGATAGGACCCTAGATTCAATGTGGCTAGATCATCATCAGACCCTCCCCCTCCCCAGTGGAACTGCTGTAAATGAACTCAAGTTTAAATAAACTGTCTCTAAAGTTCAACACCACTGTGTCCAGATCTTCCTTTACACACCAACAACGAGAAGGACTTTGTCGGCACTGAGTGTAAAATACCGTAAATGCTCCGGCTCTCTGCTGGAGCGAAAAGACTAAAGTGGTCATGAGTTTTTGATTTAGTTACAGTCTCAGTATCACTTCACAAAGTAATAATCAAATAAACACCTCTCTCTCTCTCTCTCTCTTTAAATATTCATAAAAATCTATATTCAAGCCCAGATTTGGATTAAACTGCATCACACACCGACTCTCTGCTGCACAGAGCTGCTCTCTCATCCTGACAAGGGATGGGAATTGTTTAGAATTTATCGATACGATTTCTTATCGATTCTCTAATAGATTCTCATTGAGAACAAAATAGGGTTTGTTTGCAGTAACTCTTTAATATTGTCACCTTTGGACAGAAGACGTGGCGTATCCATGCACTAATAATTTGTTATGTGACCTTCCCTTTGACCACAAATCTGCTCACAGCTCGGTGACGTTCGTTTATCTTCGTCTGTCATTTTACTCTTCCCTGCCTCGATGAAAGGGGCCGCCAAAGGTTAGCTACCCGCTGCAGCCTCTGTGCTAGCATGACTCTCTACATGTAATTTAAGGAGATCAAGAGTATTTTTAGTAAAAGGGGTTTAACATGGTGCTAACATCTACACAACAGACCAGGACCTGGAGGAAAACTTAAAGCGGGTGACGCCGAGACGGAGCTCGGACACTCGGGAGGCCTTACGGCTCAGATCTTTCTTCAGTGGTGGTGAAGAAAGAGCTGAGCCGTAAGGAGAGACTCTGGATTTACCGGTCGATCTACGTGCCGATCCTCACCTATGGTCATGAACTTTGGGTAATGACCGAACAAGATCGCAGATACAAGCGGCTGAAATGGGTTTCCTTCGCAGTGTGGCAGGGCTCGACACTCGGGAGGCGCTCAGAGTAGAACCGCTGCTCCTCCACGTCAAGAGGAGTCAGCTGAGGTGGCATCTGGTTAGGACGCCTTCTGGACGCCTCCTGTTAGAGGTGTTCCAGACATGTCCCACCGGGAGGAGACCTCGTGGTTGGCCCAGGACCAGGTGGAGGGATTATATCACAGCCCGGCTAGCTCAGTCGGTAGAGCATGAGACTCTTAATCTCAGGGTCGTGGGTTCGAGCCCCACGTTGGGCGTTAGTGACTTTTGAGAATTTCCCAGTTTGGGATCAATGACGTATATCTATCTGTCTATATCTCTCACCTGGCCTGGAAGCGCCTGGGAATCCCCCAGGAGGAGCTGGGGTGAGGGCTGTCTGGGCTGCTGCCCCCGCGACCCGGATGAAGCGGATGAAGATGACACCGCTGCCGCCGCCAAGACGTTAGCTCAGCTCCTACATTTGCCTTCACTAAGAAGCGAATCAAACACGGTACACTTCTGCAGATGAATTGCATGCTGGGTGGACAAATGTTTCTGCATATCGGAAGTATTTCCCCCTTTGATAAAATTAAAGTTTGCAAGTGTTTCAAGTCGGCCCGGTATCATCTTGCGTGAAACTCTGGAGTGCTTTTGACGCGACGCCATACTGGAAAGTTCTGAACCAAAACACACTTCTCATGTAGAGACGAAAGAGGAACCGATGAGCAGAATCATTTAGGAGGCAGACAAACAATTCTTAGGAACCGAATCACTGGGAACCGGTTCTAATAAAGACCCGAGTATCGATTCTCATCCCTAATCCTGACCACACAGAATTCTGTCTGATTACAGTCAATGAGGAGGGAAACTCCTCACTGTCTCACTGACCAATTCTGCAGTTTTTGTCTCCGGGTCTATCCTACCATGACTCTAGCTTCTCCGTCTTCCTGTTCTGACCCGTCTGCCGTCAACAAACGTTGATCGAAGTAAAAACCAAACCCTGGATTTTCTCATCTTCTACAAACACTTTAGATTCTCGGGATCAGCCTGCAGTCGTGGTCAGAGGATTTTCTGTTTATCAGGGAGAATCAAAGGGCAGACGACAGCCGAGCAGAATGACCGATCAGTCGGAACCTCTGCAGACTTTCTCTGACACGGGTCAAAACCGCCCTGGAGGTTCAAAGCCTCTGAGTAAAGTGGAGAAGCAGCTGCAGGACCAAAGTTCAGAGCTGTTTGAAGAAGAAGAAGGAGAGGAGCCACACGGCATCTGAATGATTCGAGAAGTTTGGAGGAACTCCGTCTTTCAGCTTCTGAAAAACAAACAGAGACACTGACTCGGACCGGTGGGCTGGATGGTCTGACTCCGCCCTCCTCCATCAGGCGCTCTGTAAACGGACCTGTCCGTCACTTTCAGGGAAGTTTCTGGAGCTCTAAGCTGTCGGCTCGCACCGACATGGAGGAGGACAGAAACTTTGACTGAGAGGTTCGAGATAAAGTCCATGTGGATTTTTGTGCAGATTTGACAAACTGCCTCGTCTGATGGTTACTCATTTAAGCGGTTACCATGACAACCCTATTTCTGACCTCCTGACAGTCGCTGAAACCTTTATAATGTATGAAGAGGTTACTGTAAACTAAAACTAAGCTCGGTGAGAGGAGCAGAAACAGCAAAGAGAAGAATGTTTTATTTCTTCTTCTTTATAAATATCCTAAATTCACAGACGGGGACGTGATGTTTCTTAAACCCGTTTATCAGATAAGGAAGGTGGAAATCAAACTTCAGGCAGACACGTAAAATGGAGCGAAATGAGACATAATTTCAGAGCGGAGCACACGACTCCCAATTATCCACTTTAGTCTGTTAGTGCAGCAGGCTGGAGCTGGAGCTGGTGTGTGAAGTGGGAGGAGGAGGTGAGGAGGACCCGGGTCATTATCATCTGTCACTACGTTAGTTTCTAATATCAGACCGGAGCGTCTCGGTGACAGACACAGGTCGTCATCATCAGACTCTGAAGGTTATTTTTGATTTTCTTCAGAGGTGGACTCTGAAAACCAGCAGACATGAAGTGATGAATATTCAGAACCACATCCTGATGGTGCAGACAGTGTGGAGACTCGGACCTGTGCAGGGGTCAGGTATTCAGGTACAGCTATGACACAGGAGGAGGTGGAGGCCGGGTGGTTTTATACACCGTAAAAAATGATAAAAAGAAAAAAGAAACAGTCATTCGATTTTTTAAGGAAGCCAAAACCTTTAAAACTTTAAGACCAGGAGGAGGACTACGACCTCTGTTTAAACCTTCAGCAGCAAAACTAAGAGCCGGTCCAGACCTGAACCAGGTCTAAGTATGACCTTTTTATGCAGTATGGCGCATGTTTCCAAAGGATCCACTAAAGCACTAAAGTCGGACCCTCTTTCCATCTGTATTTGGACCCGCTTCAGTCTTTTTATGCAGACTTCGATTGTTTCAGCTCCTGGATCAGGACTCAGCTCGAACATGTCCAGGATGTACTGTTGAAATAGTCAGACTACAGTCCTAAAATCTGGTCTAAACTCTGTGAACTCTGAGTCCGCACACACGTTACTCCCTTTAGTCCTGAACCCGAACTCTCCTTCTTGTTTCCTTCCAGCTAATTATCTGTTTAATTCTGTAAAAACTCAGTCTGGGCCGATGAACTCACTGTCCTAACAATCTACACACACACACACACACACACACACACACACACACACACACACACACACACACACACACACACACACACACACACACACACACACACAGAGAGTGTGTGTAAACAGTGTGACAGCTTTAACCCTCAGAGGGAGCGTCCTCGTCTCTGAGGAGTTAATAAGGAGCTAATATTGGACTAACACTCAAACAGACGCTGATGAAGGTCGACTCACAGACTCTGTTTGATGTTTGTAAAATCAACTTCAGAAAGATGTTTTTATTTATTACAGCGAACTACAGCCTGAAGACCCGCCTTCTTTTACACACGTGGACGTCAGAGTCTGAGCTGAGACACATGAAGAGGACGGTTCAGGTCCAATCAGACCCGCCCAGAACTCAGATTATGACCTGAGGCATAGGTGTGATCAATCACCGTAACAAGGACTTTAGTGGAACCGGGCTTCACACCTGTCGGCAGAGGTGGAGGAAGTACGACAGAGTAAGACTGCGTTTACACGTGCCGGATATTTCACCCTCTCCATTCACACACACACAAAAAGAAACTACGTACACACAACTACGTTTTCAGAGAAGACTCGTTTACACTAACCCTTCAGGAGCATATCACACCTGTAGGTGGCAGTGTAGTGAGAAGCTGAAACCCACGTTATCCAATCAGAATCCCACATTACAACAACAACAACATCACTTCCTTCTTTCCGGCGCACAATCTGCCGTCAGCAGCTCAAATCTCAGTTTTTCTCTGTTTACATGCAAACAGAGTTTTCCAAAATCTCCACCCTGTTTTTACAAAGCTTCATTTTCAGGGGCGAATTCTCCGTTTGCGTCTAAACGAAGGTGCAAACGATGGTTAATGTGTCGGTTTTCAAAAATAACCAGGTACGTGTAAACGAGGCCTAAAAGTCTAAATTCTCGACGGTCAGACTTCCATATTTACACTCACTGATGGTCAGGAAGGCTGATGTTTGGACTTGATTTCAGTTTTTCCTGTGGCACATATCGGCCTCCATACAGGCATGAAAAAAACACAGACACAACTTTGAACCCAACGCAGTTTCACACGCTTAAAAAAAAGAACACAAAGCTCCCTCAGGTGTCGTTTTCACAGGTATGCTCCTACCTGAATAAAGTCAATTCTTTCCATGTAGATTAAATTAAGTATTAAAATTAAAAATATAAGCACTTGAACCCTTTACTAAGAGCAGATTTTTAATGTTTCTAAAATGAGAAAACCTTTCGGAGGTCAGATCTGTGAGAGTCCACAGCAGCAGCAGCAGCAGCAGCAGCTCTGGGAGCAGGTGGAGGTGTTTCCACACTTCATGTTTAATTCACTCTTTAGAGTTGTTTTTCCAGAACCCCGGGGAGCAGCGGCTTGTTGTCACAGGTAACACATTCACAGTTATGTGGAAGAAAAGCCTCCCCTGTGGGTCCTCCTACTGAATTAATTACCTGAAGCAGCAGTTCTGCGCTGTCACCACTAGAGGGCAGAGTTAGCAGGGTTTAGAATGAGTCAAAGCCTGACTGTATGTTGGGAAACTCCCCTGAATATACAGTCTGAGCACTTTAATCTGTATTTAGAGTTCAGTTTTATAAATCAGGGTGTTAAACCGTCTCTGATTCGACCTCCAACATCTCACGGAGGACACAGTTTGGAGAAAAGGTGACTCTGAACATCAGATTCTTCGAGAAATCGTTTGGACAGTTTGGAGTCACGTCCGTCACTGTTTGGAGCTCGCAGCACGTTTTCTTTAAATAGAGAGACGCTCGCTCTTTTCTGATGGCGTCTGTGTTATTTCCATCTTTAGAGCGTCCTCCTCTGAGCGGTTTGCCGGGCCGAAACTTGAATCCAGAGTTTGTCCACGGTGTGTTTGTGCCTGCGAAATTTCAGGCGTCAGTGTGGGCCATTACGAACAAGCATACTTGAAAAGGTCACTCTTAGCCCTAACTCCCTCATTTACGCTGAGTTCCTGGGTGGCAGAAGTGGCGGCGCCTCCTCGCAGCGCTTGTTAGAAGACCATTAATCAGATTTCTGCAGACATAGCAGGCAATTTGGAAAGATTGTTCGGCTTTTTTTTCTCCTCCTCTCCTGCTCTGAGAACAACAACAAAAACAAAGACTGCTGCAGTGCTCAGTCCTATTCAACACTGTTGGTGAGGGACTGCTGGGTCGCTTTTATTCACCGCAGGAAGCTGCAGTTTATAACGCACTTCCTATTTGTTTTTTTCAGGAGAAAGTAATCATTAAGGACCCGGAGAGCAAAACACAGAAACAGCCTCTCAGGAACACGGGCTGAATGTAAAGAGGGTCGAGTGTTGGAGTGGAAATTGAAAAATAAAAGTTAATGGGTGGTAAATTTTCCACTCAGTGTCTGTATTTATGACGTGAACTTTGAAGGTAAGTTTGTCTCGTTTTGGAGAAAGAAGAAGATCCAGTTTAATGAAGTTTATCTTCAGCTCAGCTCATAATAAGAATAATAAGAGTCACGAAAAATCTCTGAATACACGTGTTGTTGTTCACAGCATGTGGAGGCATTAGTGTTGAGGGAACTAAATCTTCTATCATGGTAACGGTAAATTAACGGTTATATCACGGTTTGTTTTTCCTCCTTTAAATTCGGAAATGTCTTAAAAATAACCAAACTGTCTCAGGGCGTACCTTTGGTGAAAGACTCTGCCGAGCTCTTTAGTCTGAGAGGAGCTGCTGCAGGTTTAGTTTCTGGTGCAGCAGGTGCGTCACGCATCTTTAGTCTCTCATTATAGAGTTCGGTGTGTTTCATCTTTAGGTGGAGGAAGAGGTTGTTGGTGTTTCCTACTCCACCAACGACAGACACACCACACTCTTTACATAGTTTTGTTTTTTGATCATTGTTCGATTTTCTGAGTCCGAAGAATCTCCGGACAACCGATGTCGTGACTCGCGCCCTTTTTCAGAACGAGTTCCTCCTCCTCTTCCTCATGTTGGGTGGGTCGGGCTGCCTCTGTTAGCTTATCTCCGTGTTTGTCATGACCACCATCAGTGAAGCTGTTTCTTCTTCTTTGTTGAAACTACGCCAAGCGTGAACCAAACCTGACCCAAACCTGACCAATCAAACGGAGTGAACGAACGCTGCACGACAAACGGACGTGATCTGTCTTTCCTGTTAGCGAGCGCAGACGACTGCACACTGACTCAGAGAGACGCAGCAGACATCTGCTCTCTCTCTCTCTACGGTATAAACTGTGGAGCAACATTTCTACTGGTAGACACTTTGATACCGTCACACGGTTTATATCGTCATACCATCCAACACTAGGAGGCATCATAATTTAACTTTCATTCATGCGTAAATCATTCGTTTTCTGTTGTTAGCTGACTAACAGTTCGCCGCTCTGTAAAGCTCAAAGGAGAGGTCGTTTTCGCAGCGCAGAGAAGGTTATTAAAATGAAGATGATGTTGGTTTGGAGACATAAATTCAGTGTAAACCTTCATATCTAAATCAGCTGATTGACAGAAAACTGAAGCATCGCTGGCGTGTCCAGTTTCTCGTTAAGGGGGCGGAGTTAACCGCCGTCCATCCTGGTTAATATTTTAACTAGAGACATGTAACTCAAACAATCCCAGAAAAATCCCTGTAATGATTAAAAAAAGAGTCTAATGGAGAATAACCGAAGAGTTCAGAGTTAAACGGACGCAGAGCTTGGTCTCACAGTCCCGGTGTCACTCAAACAAATAACTCCACGTCTTCAATCACTTTGGTAAAATAGACAAACAGTGAAACACATTTGTGGAGCGCTCACGATTTCAGCAGCTCATTATTTCTGACAAAGGTATGGAGTCATTCTTTCTGCTGTTCAACAGGCAGACTTCAAATGAGGTGCTGACACACCATCAATATCCAAAATGAGCCTGTTTGGTGTGGATCATTACCCTCCTGAAAACACGGCCACCGCTCCGGCAGGGGAACCATCAGCCCAGGGTGGAACATTCAGCATGGAGCCAGTTCATATCGGAGCAATTCAATTTCCTTTTGGGAGAGAGTGGCGTGGGCGCGCCATGACGAAACTGCCAATGAGTCACCGTGAGGGGTTCACCGCTCTTAAAGGAGATCAGGTTTACAAGTACCCTCAGAGGAAACCCTTTTCATGTGAAGTACATGCTTTTGGAGGATTCTATGGTGGCCAATTAACAAGGAAAAATAATGAGTCAGGATTTAAACAAGTAAACGATCTTTGAACACGATCGCTTCTTCTTTAGAAAGTCGTCCATCCGATCGAGACGTCCTCGAGAGCAAATCTGAGTTTCTCTGTATCATGATATAAACTCCCTTAAGTTTTAACCCAAAATTAAAGGGATATTCTGGTGTAAAATTAATTAGGGTCAAACCCACTGTAGCACAGAGTTAGACCCCCCCTCCAGAGATGAATGTTGTCGACCGCTTGCTTCTCTAGTTATACCAACTTTAGTAACGACCACAGGATAGAAATACAGAGAGCCACGCCCCCAACCAAAACGCCACTCTATAACCACAAATAATGCTCAGAACAGCACCTAACTTCATCAACAGGACATATAGGGTCACAGACATAGTACTATATTCAGAGTTGTTCTAACTCCTAAGAAAACATAAACTTAAGTGGGGGCGTTTCTCCACTTCTGTAGTCTATAATCTGGGCCAATAAACTTCTACTGTAGTAAAATGAAAAGGTAAAGGTGTTTTTATTGAGCCGCATTATCAATAAAATCATGATTTTGTTAACAGGTATGGATTTATGTGCTGTCGAGTTAATATATTTGAACAAGAGCACAGTAAAGTTAAATCAGCTAATTTTCCAATGAGGTTCTGTTACTGAACAGAACTACACCATGTTCTACTGAGGTTAGTACATATAGGGTCACAGACATAGTACTAGACACCAAACATCTTTTTAACTTTGACTCATTTCTTTAGCAAAGAGACTAAACACAACTCACCTACTCTCTTCCAGCAGACGCTTGTTTGTAGAGAGACCTCAGGCCAGTCCATTACAGACTACAGCGGGGTGACGCAGCTCAAGGAAGAACATTTGTGAACATGTAAATATCAAATGTGAGGCCACCGTTAGCAGAGCTAGCACCACCAGCTCTTAGCCGTCCTCGTAGGTGAACATCCTCGTACATTTGTTCGTCATCTTCAGCCCAATCAGCTGTTTCTGTTATTTTAGTAATCAATGCAACGATAAAACATGAACGCCTTTATTTATTAACAGGTTTCAGATGAAGATAATGTGAACGGATTTTAACCATTTTCCAGATTCTGCTCTGCGCGAACAGAAACTGTCTGTGCTCGTTTACATCAGGTTAGTAGATTTACAGCATCATGGCAGAAACCGACCATAACAAGAAGATCTGTAAGTCAATACTTTGAGATGTTCGACCCAGAGTAACCTGGTTGACGTGCCATGCTGCTGGTTTCTTACACTACAGTGAGTCTTTGAAGGTCAGCTAAAGTCCAGACGCTGTTCCTCAGATTCACCAAACAAAAACTTATTGTGATGAACAGAAACCAAAATCCATCTGGTAATTGACACCGAGCAACACTGACTAAACAAAGAAAAACGCCGGGATTTAGCGCCACAGCGGTCAAAAACCTTTTGTCCTTCCGGGTCACTCACCTGCCCACAACAGCGACAAAGCTACCTTTAGTTCTGAGCCCCAGATAACAAGACAGCGACACCTAAGGCATACAAAGTGAACTGCAACTCACTTTATGGTATCAACATCAACATATCTGGACTCAGTGTTGGACTCAGTGTCCTTTGTCTCTGATCCTGTCCGTGGACTTTCGCAGTCAGGATGTTGAGGGGTCCGGTTTAGCTTTTTGCAGACGATGTGGTCCTCTACGTTTGGACAACTTTTGGTTCAGAATCAAACTTTTTAACGCCGTTTAAGTTCAACTGTGAGCTTCATTTACATCAACAAATACCCCTGACAGCGCGCCGGACGAAAACCAAAGTGTTCCTTTTCATTACGAGCCACGCAGAGATAAATATGTTCACAGCTGGATGTGCCGTCTAAAACTGATCACCAATTTAAATCTGCTGACTTCCTCTGTTGAATAAATTGGTATAAATCACAAAAGAAAGTCAGCGGAGCTGCCGGCGGTCTCCGGGATCATCATTTAATAGAACTTGTGGAGTGTGAAGACGAAGAAAAGTGTCTGCCATTAAAATTTTCAAGTCCTATTTGCAGATCATTAAGGAGCCACTTGTGTGACCTAAAGAGGAGCCTAATATGAAGTGAGAGGGAGTGAAGGACTTCATGGGAACAGATTAGTTAAACACTCTGTAACACTCAAGAGAAAGAGCAAAAGCCACAGTGAGTCTGAGTTCATTTAGAACACGGTCTGAAGACACTTTTCTAACGTGGAGCTGAGATTCTGCAGGTTTCTCCAAACATGATCCACCTGTTTATTTATTTATTTATTTAGACAGGACAGGACCAGTTCATGGACAAGGAGAAGAAGACATGATACAAGAAATATCTATGTCTATTCTCATTGGACTGAGCTGGTAGTCCACACCAGAGGAACCAGGATTCAGGTCTTAAGTCTGACCCCCAATTTCCAAATGGTGTCTACAGATAATAATCTGTAGGCTCCTCCCCCTCCATGGCGTCCCAGTGCTGGTTCGGGGATAATTCAGTGTGTGTAATTGTAAAGTCGGGTTTACCTGGTGGCCCTCTTGTGTTTCCTGTTGACTCGTCTCTGCGCTCAGAGGAGATAATTACCTCTGAGTGTCTGAACGCTGACAGAGAGGGCCGCTTTAAATACCTCCGGCTCCCTCTGCCCGCTCTCTAAATGCATAATTCACAACAACCATCGCTTTTCTGTTTCTCCCCAAAGCCCCCTCTGTGTCACACACACACACACACACACACACACACACACACGCATAATCACAGACCCTTAATCTTCACGCTGCCTATAATGACTCTGCAGGAAGTGGAGGGATTTGTCTTTTGTTTGACAACAAAATAAACCACCAAAGAAGAAGAACATTATCGTCTTTCCTGATAACAGATGATTTTCACTCTCATGTTATTTTAGTTAAAGCAGAATCAGATCATCAAACACTGCAGACTCCTCACTAACATCATTTAGAAACTCATTTGATTAATCTCCATCTTTGTATCATATGTACTATTTTACTGTTTTGTGTTGTATATAGTGTTATAGTGTATATACTTGCATATTATCTCTTTATTTTGACTTATTTTATCTCCTCTTTCTTCTTTATTTGCACTGGCGTTACTGCGACAAAAAGCAATTTCCCCCCGGAGATGATAAAAGTATTTCTGATTCTGATGATTCTGAGTTTCATCGTCACTGTTTGATAAAACAAAGTCGGTGAATTGAAGGAAAATATTTCAGTGCAACAGAAAACAGCTGAAAATGCACAACAACAGCCACAGCTTCATCAAATTTCTCACGTCTTACATCAGATGATCTTCTGGAGATAATCAAACATCCGATCAGCCGGAGCTCATCCTCCGAATCTCAATTACACAAAACTCTGACGCGTTGCCGACAGCGGGCACAAGAGGGCGCTGCCTCCTCTGTTGAGTGCAGACGTGTTTGTGTTGTTTGTGAATGGGTGAGTGAGTGAGTGAGGCGGCTGCAGAGGTAAGTGTTCCTGCAGAATCAGCAGGGAGAGCCTCTCCAGAGACCAAGATCTTTGGTTATGTAACAGGAGGAGCAGGAGGAGCAGGAGGAGACGCCGTCAGCCATGTTGGGAGGAATAAACCGGATTTTACCTTCAATCTGCAGCTCGTGTTGGTCAGTCTGAAGCTGCAGACACGGATGAGGTTTCTAACTTTCCACATTTCTGCAGGATACAGTCACATGACCAGAGGGGCTGATCTGTAATCAGCTGTTCTCTGCAGATCATCATTACTGTAACAGTGTCATGTGACCAAACACGCCAATATGTTTAATAAACAAGCATGAAAACGTACAGGAATACACATTTTCAGAGCCACCTGCAAAACTGCAGCAGATGGCGAGTAATTAAGAAATGTGTGATGACATCAGGGTGTGTAATTGGCGGACTGGGACGTGGAAACGTTGTAGGTCTGTGAGTTTGAACAGGAGAGTGAGCAAATAAGACGGCAGGAATTAAGGTTAACGTGTTTATGGAGAAAATGAGACGATAATACAGGAAAGATGCAAGTCAGCGGGGACGCCATCAGAGACGATCTTATTATACACTGATGGGAGAGAGGTTCGCTCAACAGCCTCAGAAATATATATAAGAATAATGTAGATTAGACGGGAGACTAGATTTCTCCACAGATGATAAATTAAACTTTATATTGATTAGATAATTAAGAAGAACGTCTGTTTGTTCAGCTCTTATTAAAGCAAAGTTTCACCTGGTTACTAAAGTTTCTAAAAACACAATTATAAACATCATGAAAGGGTTAAATCAGTCATTCAGTGACGTTTACAAAGTGACGGGCAGCTCCAGCCTCCTCGAACCCTTCCTTCATTTTACCTTTTGGACTTAGTTTTTCATCAATATTTCAATCATATTGTTAGTGGGAGTTTTCAGGTTAATATTACGAAGATATAAAAAAATAAAAATGAACAAATGGAAAAAAAACAAGTAAATTATAAAAGTCTCTGTTTGAAAAACAGACCAGAGAGTTTTTGTGTCTGAATTATCAAACATTCAAAGAGCTGCAGGATTAAAGAGAGAGAGAGAGAGAGAGAGAGAGAGAGAGAGAGAGAGAGAGAGAGAGAGAGAGAGAGAGAGAGAGAGAGAGAGAGAGAGAGAGAGAGAGAGAGAGAGAGAGAGAGAGAGAGAGAGAGAGAGAGAGAGAGACCTCGATTCACTGTGTCGTAAAAACAGAGGAGGAATATATGAAACAAAACTCAAAGTTTTATTAAATATATTTCTTTTACCGACCTGAAAGCCTGAAAGTTTTTTTAAAGATTTTTAAAATGTGAGATGATTTATAACGACTGTAGAGGACGTCTGTGATTTTAAACCCACATGACTCGACCAGTCAAACTATTACAATAAATAACACTTATGTTAATATACGACATGTATCTTTACTGTTTAGTAGTTTGACTTGTATTCAGTCATCTTAATGTTAATTAATGGTTTTGCTAAATAGTTCACAAATAAACTCTACATACCGCTGCATCTTCAGCCAGTAGAAGGAGGAGAAAGCGTTATTGGCGCCGGTTGAGACGTAAAAAGCGATGAACGAGCGCAGGCAGAAGGTGGCGGTAATTCGCTGATGCAGAGCTAGCCGGTGAAGAAAGCTCTGGTGAGTGCGCTGCGCGGCAGTAAGCGATTTGGGACAACACTGCACCCTCGAAACTCAAGCACAAGGCGATTAAGCACAAAGTATACTTAGAATACTCAATTTGAAAAAATCAGTATTTAGTTTGGAAGTGTGTGATTTAGGACACACCACATGTCTGTGATTTATAAAGTTAGATTCTGGTTTATGTTACTGTCACTATAGAACATACAAAGGTGATATTCTTTAAGTGCAAATTCATCCCTAACATCTGATTATTACACAGAGTGAAAACCTGTTTGCATGAAGAGCAAACTCAAGTCCATCCAGGTGGTGAAGAGTGATCGCTGAACTTTGCAGCTGTCTCCTGTCGAGCCGACGGTGCACGGACTGCATATCGATGGGTTTTTGTATAGAATTAGACAAGAAGAGAAAGGTGCTGCTGTGTGTATTGTTGCTTGGCAACCATTAAGTCACCTGCACAGTCACCTTCAAACAAACCTTCCTGACTTTTGGACAAAGAGGGTTCGACGGCGGCGTTTCACATCTGATGGATTTTGACGTAAAGCTCTTTGTGTCAGTTAACTGGACGTGGAGGATTTTTACTGTAATTTAAAGTCTGTTCATTCCTGAGTGAATCTCTGTGATTTCAGGCCGTCATTGACAGTCAGGTGAGTTCATATGATTTTAAAAGAATCTCGTTAATCAAGTTTAACCTCTCCTCCATGGTTAAAGGAGGATTATCGGTTTCTATCAGCTGTAAAAGTGTGTGAT